ATAAATCGGGCTGTGCTCCTTGGTTACCTACGCTTTCATACTCCAAATTTTCCATTCCTGGTATCCTCACCGAAAACAAATTACCAAATCAGCTCCCTTAACTTAACTACTTACATACCTGCCATCCAACTGCTCCTTCATCCTCACACAAATTAACAGCCCTTCGCTTTGGAATGATAGAGCAGAAGATTTTATTACCCTATCGCATGTCGCATATCACTTCTACTCGCTCTAGACTTTTCTCCTAGAGCTGTCATAATGCCTAAGTGGGACAAAACTCGCGATTATTACGCGGACTTAGAACTGTCCGCGAGTGCTTCTACCGAAGAGGTCAAAAAGCAATTCAAAAAACTGGGTAAGTTTCGTCCGAGCCTCCTCACGGTATATTTACTATCCGCCCCTAGCTAACTCCTACATATCTAGCGCTCAAATACCATCCGGACCGCAATCCAGGACGAGAAGTTGAAGTGAATCCGAAGTTTCAAACTATCCAGTCTGCCCACGAAATACTAAGCGATGAGACCTTGAGAAGGCAATATGACGATGCACGCAGGACGTATTCCATACGCAACCCTAGGGGATCTGGTGTTCGGGGCAATCCATGGCAAGATATTGCCAAGCAGTATCCGCCGCCGCCGACGCGACATACGACGCAGAGGTCTCCTACTAGACCTCATTCGGGAGCCCAGCGTTATACGAGCTTCACTACGAATATGCCTCGAGCGCCTAAAGCTACCCCTCGAGACGATCCCCAATCTCGCAAGAGTTATGCTGACGCCTGGGAAAATATGAGGCCAAACGCCTCCCGAAGAGCGCCTCCCCAAACCCCTGGTCGAGCACCAACATCAGCAGCACGTAATACAAAACCGTCAGACTCGGAATCCGTCCCGCCTAGAACTGCGTATCAGCAACAGAAGGCCCAGGCATCGTTTGGCAGTAGGCGGACAGGGTTTATGCCGCGCTCCCCCGGGCAAGCGGACGAGCCTCCCGTCACGAGCAAGAATTACTTTACGACTCGAACACACCCAGCCATGTTTACCGAAGTACCATCCGATACCGAAGTACCATCCGATACGGCACCAGCTGATTCTCGCACGTCCACTACGGCAGACCCACTTGCTCAATTTAGGGAGAAAATTTGGGACGAGCGGCAGAGCATGCCCTACCATTCTCCTGGCGGGGAGAAGACAAGTTTATTTGACGACGTGCCAGGAATAGGACGAACTACGAGCACGCGATCACCCCGCAAAGCAGAGATGCCTGGAACGTTCCCCCAATCTCGTGCCCGAAGTTCTAGCACGCCGCGAAGTTCTAGTAACGACGGGGGATCTGAAGATTCAAGAAAGCCTGGCAAGGGCACTAAGCCATCAACTAATGAACAGGTCCCCAGCGGCAATAGTACCTTCCAGTCGCGATTTAACGATAGGTATAAGCAATCAGCCGAAGCGAACGGTGTTTATCCACCGCCTCGACCAGGAACCGCCGAAACTCCACCGACAACAAATGCTAGTAAACGTATGTTGCCGACTTAGATTTATAGTGTCGTTCTTAGTTTTGAGACTAATTCCATATTTGTAGCAGGTCCTAGCTCTACCCAGGCTACCAACGGTCCTTCAGTGTATGCACCACTATTTCTCAATCCTTCCAGCTCATCCAATCCCCAACACCACTATACCAGACAGACAAACGACCACATAAGTGGTCATTTATCTCATTCTATTAATGCGAGCCGTTATTATCCCGCCCCCCAGGTTCACAACCCTTCGAGTGGAGGGATTAAGCTTAAGCAGAATCCTTACCTACTCCCTGTCGAGGAGAAGCAGAGAATCGCTGTTGACAGTCTCATCAATAATCGATCGAACTATGGTAGAAAATCCGGTACCTTTTCATCGGAAGTCAATGACGAAGTCGAACATTACACATCTCCTACCAAGAGGACTAGACTCAATACTGACCAAAAATACTCTTCTAGCTTCACTTTCCCGGCCGGAAGCGACATACATAGCCAGGGTGCTGGACTCACCAGAAACAGCGCCGACAGCATCAATACTAGGTTTGTTGATGACGAGCTGCCTGAGGATTGGAAGTTTAGTGCCGGTATAGCCTCGGCAAGTGATCCCCAGACGACACCAACCAGGGTACCACCCCATTCGCGCAGCCGTGTAGGTCGGCGACAAGTGCCGAGATCCAGACATACGGAGACGGATAGCGTTCCATCGACGCAGAGTGGTGGTGTAGGAAATGGAGTAGGACTTGGGTTTTCACCTTGGGGATGGAGTGACAAGATAGAAACCCGACATTTCGAGCCACAGCCACCACGTAGTACGTCCAGCTCTCCATCTCGCCGCGCGAACCTGAAGAAATCCAAACCTGTTAAAATGACGGCGGGCACGGCCGGATTAGTAGATGAGGAGGAGAGTGAGGGGTGGCAAGAAGGTCACCAATCTTCGGGATCTGCGCCGGCTAACGTGGATACTGCAACCGCTATGGATATTGACTCGCCCCCGTCGGAGAAGGCCAACGACACCCCTAAGGTGTCCCAGATGAATGGTGCACGCAAAATACCCGTCGAGCCTCACAGAGAAGAGTGGAGAGCAGGTAACGTCAACGATGTGCGTGCCAAGTCCACAAGTCCGACGCGAGACGGAAATACTACAACGGGAAATTTCGCCCAAACTTCTGCTCCTGATACAGCTTCTATTCCTGCGGCGCACCCCTTTGTCGCCCAGCATGGTGGGTCGGAAGATACCGATGAGTTCCGTACTACATTCTCAGACTTCAAGAGGGTAGAACCATTTGTCGATCCAGCTCCTAGGGGTCTTGGAGATTTCGGGGATCTGAAGACTACATTGCCCTTTCAGAGTAAGCCTTCGGAGCACATCCCTCTTGACAAGGAACATCCGCCCAAGCCTACAACACTCGAATTCCCAGCTCCGCCAGTTGCACCACGGCTTCCCCAGGCTGTGCTTACAGCGGGGATCCGTCCCAATCAAGTACAATTCAGTAAATATGCACAGGACTTCTATCAGTATATGGATAAGTGGGAAAGCTTCAATGCTAGAATCATGGCTCATTTCACTACTCGCCAGGAAAATTTCAAGATCCGTCGTCAACAGCGAGGAGTAGCGTGGCTTGATACATCTTTGGGGGGTAGCGATGCTGCACGCGACTACCTGGCAGAGCTTGAGCAAGATCAGGTGGTTCGTCAACAGTGGCTCAGCGCCCATGCAGATCATCAGGCCAAGATCCGCGAATTCATGATGTTCAGGGACCAGGTAAAATAGTATGGCCGGTCTTACGAACAGCAGCACGTTAATTTTGGCGATCCTGGTGTATCCCGCACGAATGCCGCGCCATTTCGTCCCACCTTCTTATATTTCGGTAAGACGTCTCCTTATTGACGGACAATTGGAGTATGCAAGAATACAAGGCATCGGCAAACCAGTCTATTGATAGAAGCACTACACACGGCACCTTAGGTGTTTATAGACGCGTGGGAATCGACTATGTTATCGTCTATTTGGCTAGGGCCAATATTGTTTGTCGCCAGTACGATGATTGGCGTATTGGCGCTTACTTCTACGGGTTTGGTTACCTGTAGGATAGGTTTGGAGAAGTGGGAATTACTAGAGTCACGGAACGGGCATGTCAAGTCTCTACCATCTGGTGGAGTAAGAAGAAACGAATGGCAGAGAGTAGAAAACCCAGTGGCTTCAGAAGAAAGCTGTAGGCGTGTATCTCCCTATAGTACAACCCGGGAAGATAATTCACACCGACTTAGGGTGTGTAAGTGAAGGTCAATAGCCCTCGGATGGGCGTTGGCGGGATGGGAATTTTGCTTTTGCTATGAGTTTGAGGGTCGGCAATAGGTAAGTAGTCTCGGTCTCGGTCTCGGTCTCGGTCTTAGTGTGGCGTTGAGCGGCTCCAGGGGAGATAGGCGTGCTTGGAATGACAGGGTGATGATACCGACAGGATACCGATACTACGATATACAAATAATTGCGGGCTCTAATGCTATGCTCGGCGCGAGCGTAGCGATAGATAATACGGATAGGTGCTCTCTTCATTTAACATGGTGTGCGCGCGTTGATATCAAGTGGTGATCCCGCAGCTGTTTACTGTCCACGTACGTATATGGAGTTTTATGAAATAATTATGGAGTTTTATGAAATAATATTCGGCTTTCGATTTACTAACCGCAATAGGTATACCCATCTCATGTAATCCGGGCCGACTTTAACGCCTAAATTAACACCAGAGGATTACGGGTATTAGGTATATTACATAAGCCTTTGCTAACATTTTTTGTGACATATTTTATAACGTGGACCCAATCTCAGTTGAGCCATAACTTGTGATACTTATGTCATTAAAAATAGAGATGATAACAGCTGATTATTACCTATAAACTAGATATGAAGCATTCAATTATGTCAATACAGGTAGGAGACACTTACGCCGAGCTACCTCGTATGTCCGACGATATGTTAGACAAGCTTCAGAAAATCCACCCCGTGTAAGGGACTTTGCCCTAGCCAATTAAAACCTGATTGAAGGTTCTCATATAGTCATAGTTGAATATGATTGGTTGCAATGACTACTTGGCTCCAAACCCGCGATTCTTATTGGCTTATATCCCCTTATGTCCGCTACAGGGGACGGATTTTGTGAAGCCTTCCAAGCCTCCCAACACCTCCGCCGGATGAGAAGCCGGATGACTCAGCATCGGATCTGCAACAAGCTGAGCGAATGCGCTGCAAACCCGGTTGGCTAGCCCTATGAGACGATGGTGAGGTGGCTACCTACCTAGGTTAGGTAGCTATATCACTGTGGTGCGTGGTGCGTGAGACCAAGTGAGACGGAATAGCTTAGGTACCTAACCTTAGGCATCATATATTACGACGACCACCTTCTCCTCACCAGACACCTTATCGAAGATTCCCATCGCATGGAATAGAAGATACCTGATGATTAAAATAATTAATAATACCCCGCCCACCATGTCCCTGTCCCTATCCCTATCCTTTTCTAAACTAGGCAGCATCCCTAATTCGGAACTATCCAACATGGACTCCCTGCCCGAAGAAATCCTCATAGGCGTCGTGGACAAGCTGGACCGCAAGGCCGACCTGTCTACCATCCTCAGCCTGCGCGGCGTCAGCCGGAAATGGCGCCGCGTCGCGACCCCGTACGTCCACATCGCCGTCCAGAACTATCGGCCCCAGACCGCCGACGCGCCCTGGAACTTCCACCGCTCCACCGACCTCCTGTGCTACCTCTGCTGGAAGCTTTCGCAGAAGCCGCACCTCGCCCGCTTCGTCAAGGAGGTCGCTTCCCGCCCCTGGAAGGATGCCCGCTGGAAATCCTTGGCTGCTAAGGCGGACTTGAGCGCGCGGTACCGCGAGGCGCTCGCGGGGGTTGGCTCTGCTGTTCCGGACGACGTGAAGGATGGCATTGTCGCCGAGATGCTGTATGATGTGGGCGACGCGCTGCTCGCGTTCGTGCTGATTCTGTGCACCGACATCGAAGTCCTTATGATCCCGGCTCTCGATAGGGGATGCGGGCCGCGGACGAGACAGGTGCTCCGGTGCGCGCATGCACAGCTCCAGGATCCGCCGCGGGATGGCCGGGAAGCTATGCTTAGCGCCGTTCGGTACGTCCAGCTGGGCGATTACGTTAATGGCTTATGCCTCGCAGACGCTCTGGATGTGCTTGCCCTGCCGAGGCTGCAGCATCTTGAGCTTGGGAACTTGGGAGATACTACCGTCGACGGCAGCCAGCCTTTACCACCACCCTTCCCCGAGCTCCCTAAAACTCACCTGCAGGGCCGTGGCCCAGTCGACATAACGCTCGAGTCGTGCCGTCTTAGCGGTAAGGGCCTAGTCACGCTACTCGCGGCATGCGGCCGCACGCGCTCGCTCTTCGTCAAGATGCGAACCGGCAACGTGCGGCCCTCGCGGGCACCATGTTTCGCCGAGGCGCTCGAGCTATACGGCCAGAACCTCGAGTTTTTATATCTCGACACGACGGCATTTGAGGACGGGTTAGCCGGTGCTACCGACCCCGATCCCCACCCCGATTCCAATTCCAACTCCAAAACACTAACCCCATGCGCCCGCTTCCTCCGCGCCCTATCCTCCCTTAACACCAACCTACAATTTCTAGCGCTGTCCCGCGCCGACTTCCCGACGCCCGAGGACCTGAGAGCCGCACTACCGGTCTCGCTGCGCGAGCTCCTAGTCTTAGAAGTAGACGACAACGACGAAGAAGAAGAAGGCGACGACGCATACCAGAACCTAGTGCGCGGCCGGAATACCCCGTGGCTGGAGCGCGTAGTATGCCAGCGCGCTACGTCCAATAACGATACGGGCGCCATGTACGACGGCTGTCTGCGGGACAGGAAGTTACCTAGCACCCGGGTGTTGGAGAAGAGCCGGTGTACGGTGTTTACGTGGTGTGTCAGCGAGTAGGTTAAGTCGGCGAGCTATGTTGGGTCTAGGGTGAAATACATACATAGACCACGTGTAAAACTACCTACCTACCTATATATTTTTGTTGTGAACGGAAACACTACCTAAGGAAGGGGATTTTGCTTCAGCACAGAGCCGCAGCTTTGTATTGTAATATTAGCCCTTTATGCTTGCTTCTCAGTTAGGTAGCTCTCGGATGGTCATCTCAACGGAACAATACCTACCTAGGTACCTACCTAGGTATATAATCTCCAGGTATGTAGATATGAAAAGGAATGAACATAAATCTCCTAAGATAATTGCGTGTTATTACAATACTAATACATAGTCGTGACGTGATATATAATGAATACCCTTTGAACGGGGCAGTATCTATTATTTAATATGTGATATATAGTCTCAGTTAGATATTGATAAGGGTGCCATAAACTAATGAAAGTTTCCTCTCAGTTAGAAGGGGAAACTTCCAGGAGAGGAGAGGGATGAAATAGAGGAAAGTATAAGGAGGGGGAAAGGTTAGCTGCAAAGTATTTAATGGCGTATACGCATACATAGGTATATAACAAATCGTGGCAACTTCTAATTCGCCCCGTCTAAACGCGACTTCTTAAACAGCCGACTGTATCTGAGTTCCTTTCTCATACCTTAATCGATCAATAGTATGCGGGAATGAATTCGGCACAGGCATTTAATACGACCATACGAACGAATACCTAAGCACCGTAACCTTAATCACTAGATGTTTTGATGAAGCAAGGCAAACACGAGATTCTTTTTGTCAAAGACAATCCATTTATTTAGGATTATATAATCCACCGCGTCATCATCAACCCTGGGCGTCGAAATCGAATTCGTTCATGCAAAGGGCATAACTGAACCTGACCTGAGATGCCTCAAGGTAACTGGTAACTATCACTACCATCATTCCATTCCATAACGTTCCAATTATCGTCGAACGTAAGCCGCAGTAAATTAAATCAACGACGCAAGCAAGTGCTGCATTTAAAATTGTCGATTCTTAAAAGACCATTCATTTTCCCAGCAAAACGCCGAACCTGTGGATGTAAATCAACGCAACAAAAAAGCGCCCTCCGTTTCCTTTACCAATCGATGGGGTCCTTGAGTTCCTGTCCGCGATTTGTCGCGGGTACCGGCACCGGCTTGGCCGCTAGTCGGCCGCCGCGTCCTTTCCTCTTCAGGTATCCCGTGCCGTCGACCCAGGGGGTCCTAATCGAGGCGTTCTTCTCGTAATCGACAATCTTGTCCTCAAGCTGGAGGGTTAGGCCGATGTCATCGAGACCGTTAACCAAGCAGTGCTTGCGGAACTCCTCGACCTCGAACCCGCAGAGTTCGTTGCCGGTAGCGTCGCGGATGACTTGGTTGGGAAGATCAACTTCGATCTCCTTACCAGCACGGGCTTCCGCGGCAATCTTGTCGAGGTCGGCCTGGTTCTTGATGGCGATGGGTAACATGCCGTTCTTGAAGGTGTTGTTGAAGAAAATGTCGGCGAACGACGAAGCAATGATACACCGGATACCGAAATCGTTCAAGGCCCAGGGAGCGTGTTCTCTCGAGCTACCACATCCGAAGTTAGGCCCTGTGCAGACCAAGACCTTGGCATTCGTCCATGGCTCTTGGTTAAGAACGAAATCGGGGTTAGGCGTGCCATCCTCGTTGAATCTTGAATCATAGAATAGAGCAGTGCCGAGCCCAGTTCGCTTGATAGTCTTGAGGAACTGCTTGGGGATGATGGCGTCGGTATCGACATTAGCTCGGTCTAGGGGAGCAGCAATTCCCCTGTGGACAGTGAATTTCGGTAGACCCTGGGAGCCGGCAGCCTCCGTAGCAGCGGTGTTAACATGCGGCGAAACGTCCTCAGGCTGATCAGTAAGTCTTTCCTTGGCGGTATCGTCATCCTCGATACTCTCATCGACGTGCGCCTTGCCAAATGATGTTGCGGGGTTTAATTTGTAAGCTTCAATATGGGGGCTGGCCTTGTACTCGGTCAACTTTCGGACGTCGGCAAGCTTGCCAACAATGGCAGCCGCCGCCGCCATGACCGGGGACATCAAATGTGTCCTGCCCTGGGCACCTTGTCTACCCTCGAAGTTTCGGTTGCTTGTGCTTGCACATCGTTCCTTGGGCGATAGAATATCGGGGTTCATGCCAAGGCACATACTGCACCCCGCTTCTCTCCATTCAAACCCGGCGTCAAGGAAGATCTTATCAAGACCCTCAGCTTCAGCTTGGTCTTTGATGACTCCGGAACCAGGCACAATCATGGCGCGCTTGACGTTATCGGCCTTCTTCTTGCCCTTGACGACTTGGGCAGCAGCTCGGAGATCCTCGATTCGCGAGTTTGTGCAGGAACCAATGAAGACCTTGTCAACAACAATCTCTTCCATAGGAGTACCGGCAGTGAGACCCATGTATTCGAGCATCCTTCGGCCAGCTGCCTTCTTCGAATCGGTCTTAAATGTTTCGGGGTCAGGTACAACACCGGTGATGGGAATGACGTCCTCGGGACTTGTACCCCAGGTCACAGTGGGGATGATATCCTTGGCATCGATTTGGACATCAACGTCATACTTGGCGCCGGGGTCCGACTGGAGAGTCTTCCAGTACTTGATAGCACGATCCCATTCGGGCGTACCGTAAGGAGGAGCCAGAGGCTTGCCCTTAAGATATTCGAAGGTGATATCATCAGGGGCCACCATACCAGCTCGAGCACCAGCCTCGATTGACATGTTGCAGATGGACATACGAGCTTCCATACTTAAGCTACGGATGACAGAGCCGCAGAACTCAATGACACAGCCAGTGCCGCCAGCGGTTCCGACTAAGCCAATGGCGTGGAGCACGACGTCTTTGGAACTAACGCCAGGTGCCAGCTCACCTTCGACTTGTATCCTCATGTTCTTGCTTCTCTTGGTGATGAGGCACTGGGTGGCTAGGACGTGCTCGACTTCACTGGTACCAATACCAATGGCGAAGCAGCCGAAAGCGCCATGTGTAGAGGTGTGGCTGTCACCACAGACCAAAGTGGTACCGGGGAGGGTGAAACCTTGCTCGGGGCCGATGACATGGACAATGCCCTGACGTTTGTCGCCTAGACCGAAGTAGGTGATACCGAATTCTTTAACGTTCTCCTCTAGAGTTATGCACTGTATGCGAGAGTCGTCTTGTTCGATGAAGGTGGCAATGTCCTTGATGCCTTTTCGGGACTTTGTGGGAACATTCTTCAAAATTGAAGGTCAGCTTTTTCTAGCCAATGATCTATAGGAGGTTATAGTGAAGTAACATACGTGATCTGTGGTGGCGAGGGTGCAGTCTGGTCGTCGTACTTGGCGCCCTGCATTCTTTAAGCCTTCAAAGGCTTGCTGTGGCTCTAGTTAGATTTGGTACGCCAAACATAAGTTCCTGGATGTTTGAAGTATCACGTACAGGTGAAGTGACCTCGTGGACAAGGTGTCTGTCTATTTCACGAAGGCGAATTAGTATAACTCTCAAGCAATTCCTAATTGGGTGGCGCATACCGATATAGAGAAGGACTGTGCCGTCGAGCCTCTCATCCACGACATGAGCAGCTAGAATCTTGTCGTACAAGGTCTGTGGAGCACCTTCGGCAACAGGCATCTTGAAAAGACCTTTGAAATATGATTTCCCTTATCTTCGTGACCCCTTGAGGAAGCTTTATCTCGGCGCACGCACGCACGCTGAATCTGAACGAGAGGAAGTGGATAGATATGGAAATAAAATAAAAACTACGTCGTGAGAAAGTAAGGGAAAAGGGAGTAGAATCACTAAGACGGGCGGCTGACCGGTTGAAAATCTATAAATGCGGGGAGAGGCTTTAAATAAATATTAGGGAAAGAAGGGAAGAATGTACATGTTGAAGTCAAAGGAAGGCGGCGACGCCGGCACAGGAAAGCTCTACCTAGGTACAACGAAGTTCACTTCTTGCGTTTCACATTTTTTCCTCTCTTTTGCCTTAGGTATACGGTCCGCCGAACATCGGAAGGAGGACCCTGTTCTCCGGTAGCGGGGTACATATGTATGTACCGGTAAGGATGGGATTTGAATCTGTGGAACGGTGATTGGTTGGTGCAAGGGCAGTTGCGAGATGCCATGTCTAGAAACACCCCGCTACCCCACGTGAGGGGCCTTCGGTGCGAGTAAACTGCAAGAGTAAACTGCAAAAGTACCTACATACGCTGATGATTGCATGCAGACAAGATACCTACCCATATCGGACCCAGGAACACTTCTCACCGGGCGGCATATAATTCTCCAATTCTCTCTCTATCCAACACTAATTACTCTCGTATTCACTATAGAGAAGGGAAAAAAAAACATTCTCAAGGCAAGGGCGGTAAAGACTTAATCAATCAAGGTTATGGGTAACACGATTCGGACACTTACAGGAAAATTCCCCAATTGCATCCACTCGGGGATGAGAGGTGAGATACTTATGATGTCACCTCGGTAGCTCTAGGTCTTTAGCTAGTCCAATGAAATTGCCCTAATAAAATCTATAACTTCGTAGGTAGGTGGTACAAGATCCCTGGCAGATCACCCACGCTCCGCTCTTTCTGTGCGATGGTAAGATGGTAAGGGGTACAGCGGTACATGTAAGGTTACCCATTATAGAACACATTCCTACACCGCAGATTACCTGCAACCACCTGCACTATCCGAACCATACCTGCATCTCTCTTCCAGACTTCGGATAGGTCTCGTGCGAGCCTTTTATGAAACCCCCCCAAAAATAGCGAAATCGGGACGCGAAGCTATTGCTGATTTTCCATAAAACTACCTCTAATGAATGCGGTATATACATACACCGCACCTTTGGCTAATGCATATTAAGTACCTACTGCTACGTAGTACGTATCGTCTATGTGAGAAGCCCCGATTTGGCGGACCGGTAATCCTCCGATGTTTGCCGTCGAGCCTCCCAAGCTCCAATTTTTGTTTCCGTCGGGACCATCGGCTCTAGTCGGAGCCTCAACCGTCTAGAACAACCTACTGCCCCATACCTATGTCCGAATACCGCAGTCGACTACTAGCCCGGTCTCGAGGGTCTCGTTTCTCCGAGAGCGACGCCATATTCCCATATCGTCCAACCATTGGTCAGATATAGTCCCAGACTCCAAACACATAACCCGTACAGGAATATCAGCCTATTGTACTGTGGTAACCTTTAAGGCGTCATTGCTCTAAAAACTATCAGAACAGCTTTGACATATACCAACCGCACAATGCGCCGGCCAGGCAGAATAATCCCGCCGACGTGAAAACGGCCATATCTCTCCACGTGCTCTCCTTCCTGTACCTCCTCTTCCACAGATCGCTTTGCGGATTGAAAGCCGGCTGCACTATGGCCCACCAAGTACATGCTAGGCCTAAGAATAATATGTAGACTATCTTGCAGAACTGTACTACTATTACGGATGCATCTCGTTTACCAGCAAATCCTTTTGTAGCTCCTTTCTTATGCTGTGCTTCATTAATGCTCTCATCCGCCTCGGTGTGTTCAGGCTTGGAAGGAAGCCCGGTGCCTGCGCCTTCTTCGCCGTGGCGTTTCTTCCTCGGCCGCTTTTGAAGCGACCGCTTCGGCTCCGTCGTTTTGCCGTTGGAGACTTGCTTTCTCACCGGACTGGGAGTTCGGCTCCGGTTGCGGCTTACTTGGCGGTCGCCCGACCTGCTTCTCACTATTTCCTTGGCCCTTAAACGCAACATGGCAATTCGTGCCGCTTCTTCTACTATGCTCTCCTCTGGTCCCTCGTATGACAGGCGCTGATGTACTTCTCGCGAAATTATTGTTGGCGTTCGAGTCATACTTGCACTGCGACTCTCTTGGTTGATTCTCTCGGCTTGTTCTTGTCGGATTGTCTTCTTGGTTTCTAAGTGTTCGGCCTTTTCTATCTTGGTCGTTTCTGTCTTCTCGACTGCATCCTCGTCCTCTGATATGTCCCTTTGATTCGTTGCGCCATTCTTTTGGGCGAGACGGCAAAGCTTTGGAGTCGTTGGTGTGGAAACTATGGTTGGCTCCTTCTTTTCTGGCGTCGCACGGCGAGTTGATGAAATACCGGTCCCTGGTATCTCTTGGGCGCGCTCGGGATTCAGCAAGCTGTTCTGTGGCGCTGTGGGAAGGGAAGGCGTCCTTCGTTCCTCTGGTATTAGGTCTGGCGTCATGCAAGGGTCGTCCTGATGCAAGGACGCCGGAGTCGCCGGGCTGTCGATAATGTTTGTTATGACATCTACCTGACTGGCTTCGACACATCGTTTTGGCTGCGGGCAATCGGTTTGGCTCTGCTGAGCGGGAACGCAGCCAGTAATGGTGGTGGTGGGTGTGGACACACATTCTCTCCGGGCTTGCTTGAGGTGGTTTTCCGCGTGGTGTAGCATCTTGTTTGCCTTTTCTAAACTGGTCCTCCCTTGCTGGCCCGGCTGTGAAGGTTGGCTCTGGGACACTGGAGCGTCTGCTGGTAAACTGTTGACCGTGCGATCTTGAAGTTCGTCGAAAGTCGGAGGTGACATACGGTGTTTCTCTATGACCTTGGTGTGAACGGTAGCTAACAGGCTTGGAACTAGCTTGTGCCGGATTGAGGGTCGTCTCATTATGTTTTTCAGCTTCGAAGATGATGAGATCACTGGAGCTGTATTTGTGCTTTGGCTGCTTCTCCCGTTCTCCTGTGAGTATACCAAATTCGTGGTCGAGGAAAGTGCCATCGTGTTCATCCCCAAAGAACTTGGATTGGGCGTTGTCAACGGTGAGTCTTCTGAAAGCGTCGACTGGCTGTCGGCCGTGTCTACTAGTTCTGGTGATAGGAGATGGAGATGATAATCCGGGATCGTTAGGTCGGCGAAGTGATCCTTGTGAATGTGCTCGATCGAATTCGACGTCAGATTCTGGGCTACCATGGACACCACTACCCCCCCTTGGTGGGCTGTACCTGATTTCCCCGGATCTGTCCCCCGTCGGCGCCTCCATAAAAAATGCCTCTCACTCTTCGTCCGCCCAATGTCCGGCTGCTCAGCGTCAAGGTGTATCCCCGACGGCTGGGTGGCTGGCCTTGTGAGATATGTAGGTTCGAAATTAACACCTGGTGAGTTATGAATAATAGTGTCGGTAGATTGATTGAGTCGCCTACGCCCCTGAGGCTGTGTGCTATCGTAACCAAGCCGTTCGGCTTGGTCTTGTGAAGTAATCATTGATACTGGCGGACGATTAGGGCGAGAGAAATTTGGAATAGCTGATGTGATATCCTCGGGATCTGATAAGAAGGAGTCAGTAGGCAGCTCTGAAATCAGCAAACTAGATGTCTCACTGCTTCCAAGCGCCACACTGTCTATGGACTGGGCAATCGGACTGAGGTTGGGTTCGGCGGCGGAAGACCAGTTGCGCTTGTGCTGGCTCCATTTGGCGAATTGGTGCTGACGTCTAAGCTCTTCCTTCACGCGTTCGATTTTGTTAAGCTTCGCCTGCTCTCTGTCTAGCCTAGCCTTATCCTTCTCTTGCTCTTCTAACAACCTGAGCTGCTCGTACTCTAACCTCGCGGCTTTCTTTTTCCGCGCCAACCCGGCTAGCTTCGTACGCGTCGACGTGCCGGTCGTCTCAGAGCTAAGAGTATCCGTAGGTGTAAGGATTGAAAACTGTCCCGAGTATGGATCAGCACCTTGCACCCCTAACCAATCCCCACTCTCCTTTAGGTTCCGTCGATTTCTCCTGGCTTCTTCCTTGGACTGGAGGAGCTCGTGTACTTCGGTCCTTGTCAGCGCCTCCGACTTTCGAGGCGGCTGAGGTTCACGATCTGAAACTTCCGGCACTTGTTCACGCCCACGGGATCGATCCCTCGGTAAGTTCTCAACGAACCTGGACTCTCCCTTTTGCGGGCTCCAGCTCCAGACCCGGCGGTGACTACTAGGTTCTTCTGGTCCGCTTGTCGATGTATGGTGTGCAGGGAACTTGTCTTTGGCAAGGTTCCAACCCGTCAGTTCGCTACGGCTCGTCCCTACCGCATTGTCGTTATCACCCGTCCAGTCCGTGCGGCGGGTGCCTCCTTGTTCTGGACGGTTACTCGGTAGGATCTTGCTGAAGAAGCCGGCGAGCGAGGATGCCCTCTTTTGGGACGACGGCTGCTCAGCGTTGGCAACCGACGACCTCGCGGGGCTCATCCTTCTTGAAGTACGCTGTCGGATCGGTGGTGGTGTTTGGCTCTGGCTCGCGGGAGAAGAAATGAAAAGCCAATCCGAGCTCAAACTACGTGGCAACGACGACGACGACGACGACGAGAATAACGATGAAGACCGGCCACGTCTTGAAGTTGACATTATGCTAGTCCTTCTAGACCCGGACGAAAGAGAGAATCGTGGTTACCCGGCTGAGAGGAGAGGGAACAGACATGAAACGGAGCTAAAGAAACACCGTTCATGTTTTCCTTGCCTATGAGATCAGAAAATGCCGGCACGCAACTACCAGGGAACCGTTTAGGTGGATAGACGAATCAAAGTTAGGAAGGATCGGACCAAGACGTTGGGGAATGTGCGGCTTAGGTTTAACGATTAAGGGATATCGGCACTCGTTCAAGGTTAGTACCTAGTATAGAAAGCATAAGCGTTTAGGCTCTAATCCCAACCTAAAGGGGAACACAACCAACTGAAGAAAGTTAAATCAGAAAAGGGGGATACGTCAACGGTCATTACAATAGTGCTGCCGCTATTTTATTTAGTTCTCTATAGATGCAGCTCGTATTCGTACAAATGCTAGTGAATGTAGAAAAAGTCCTTAATGTAAGCAGTGTAATACAGTAGACGCCCATCCCATACTCCCCTAACCTGCCCCTAACGTTGATGCATAACCCACAAATATCAGACCTTTTATCGCCACATGGAGGGATATCTCTCGTACGATGTTTGTTGGGTCCGTCCCCAAGTACCCGGCTGAGAGCTCGTGGCGCCAGTGCTTTTCCTAATGCTCTTCATAGGACTAATGCCACGGTCCTTCGCCGATTGGTATTGCTCGAGCTGAGCCATCTCGCTGTTATTACGCGGTGATCTAAACTGAAGCTCGCCTAAACTAGGAGCCTTCTTCAGGGGTGATTGTGGGTGGGTATATACGCCCATATATCCTCCATCACCTCCATGGTTACCGGTGTTGGTAGAAGAGGAAAGAGCAGAAGTATAGTTCGTAGAAGTTCCCAATTGGGATGAATTTGGGTTAAATGATGTGGAGAGGCCTGATGTGCCTCTCCGGTGAGGAGGCTTGGCAGCAGCTAGAGGAGTGCGACCCCTAATATCACTTCCTAGACTGTCAGTGTATCTCTTTGATACAGGAGGGGTGAATAGTCCGGAACTGCTGTTGGAAAAGCCATTGCTACGATCCGGATCAATATGTTTGACGTAGTTGGGGTTCGGTCGCGTTCGGAAGCCTCGTCGAAGCTGAACAGTAGGCGTGCCAACTTGTATATCCTCGTCAAGGTCGTCACCATCTTCATTCTGCGAAATTTGCGTTGCTGCATCCCTAACCGTAGGATACAGATTGGGATGGACAAACTTGGTATCGTACTCGTGCATAACTTGTTTTTGGATGATAGCCGTGTCCTTGTTTTGCTGCGTAAATCTGTTCTGAAATAGGAGCAGCTGTCCTGACAAGATGAGCTGCAATACGATGCAGTTCAAAACAGTAATGCTCGGCCTCGTATCCAAAGGGGCCAGTGGTAGAAACATCATGTAGACCAAAACGTGGCCAGGACTAAATAAACAGAATATTTGCAGACAAATCGGCAACGGGTCCCAAACCGACACCTCCCACACGTCTCGGCTTCGATCGGGATGCGCTCGCGACTCTGCACTCTCCGAGCCCATCATACCCGTCAAGAATCGTAAAGGCGATGATGACACGGGGGAGGACTGGACGCGGACGCGATGCGCCGAAGGGGTTTCGGGCTCCTTCTCCACATCCGCTTCGAATAGTCGGTAGTGACGGGATCGGTACATGGTGTAGGCCGCATTAACGACCGAGAAGCCAGCCAATGACCAGATCATGGTGCCGACCTACAATGCAGCCATAAAAGCGTGGTTAGCAATCCAATCCAGCTCGAAGCTACTGATGGATCCAAGAACTTACAAAGAAGGTAAACCAACCAGACACTGAGCCATCTTCGAACACGGGATCTACAGCGTAAGAACCACCACTATTGGCCCTGGCGAGCAGGAAAGCGAAGTTCATAGCCACGCCCATCTGAGTGCCGACAAGCTTGGAGTTCCAGTCGCGCGTCTCGATCTCTTCGGATAGCCACAGTAGGAAATCCATAGGGTTCAGCATCGCCTTGACACGCTCCACGAGCGGTCTCCGACGCACCAGTCGCGGCGGCATCGTGTTCTGTAGTCGACTTGGAAAAGGGGGAAACAGCAGCAGAATACCTCCGAAGCTCACATGTGTGGTTTAATTGAAGTTACAACAATAAGCCACGACCTAGCGGTGATTTGTCTTTGAGCCTTTGTTGCTCGGTTGTTTCGTTTTTAGACAGGGCGATTTTTCTTGACCTGAAAGAAAACACGGTAATGGAATGTCGCGAACGTAGATGGAAATTTTGCGAAGACGCGGATCCATTAATCGAAATCTGCTAGGGGTGCTGCAAGCTTACCTCATAGTTACCTGCTAGGCGCATGAAATAGCAGCTGCCAACTGGCTGGATTAGGTGGATACGTGCCTAGGTAGGTACCTACCTAGGTACCTAAGTAATGGCGGGGTAGGGGGCTAGTTGGGACTGTGTTGCAGCCATAACTTAGGCGGTAAGAGCTCTCTTTCAGCGGTCATCTATGTTCTACTTTCCAAGGTTGCAATTGTGCCTTATTGCCTGTACATCATATTCTCTTAAGCTCACCAGCCTATCCCCATTGACTACCTACCTACCTAAAGCGCCCACGATTTCGACTGGATCACGTCCTCGCTGCCTAATCCTGATTGACTCAGAACAATGGCGTCTCACGCGGACTACAAGGACAGGCAGTTCTTAGCTGTCATTGGAGACGAGGTGTGCACAGTCCTCGCATAGTCAAAGGGACTCCAGAATACTAATTATGGGAATGACTAGGACTCAGTCACAGGCTTGCTATTAGCAGGAATAGGTGTAAGCTTTCTATCTCGAGTTTACTTTACTTTATACCTTGTTTAGTCAATATACAGTTAATTTGCTCCAAGTCGAGTATTCGTTGACAAGTATTATTAGCATGTCACGAACCCTCCAGACTCCCAGAAGAACTTCCTAGTTGTCGACAACAAGACAGAGACATCAGCCATCGAAGCTGCCTTTGAGTCGTTTACGACAGAGCGAAAAGACATCGGCATCGTATTGATTAACCAGCATATCGCCGACAAGATCAGATATCGAATCGATACCCACACATCTGCCTTCCCTACTATACTCGAAATCCCTAGCAAAGAACATCCATATGACCCTGAGAAGGACAGCGTGCTAAAAAGGGTGCGACGTCTTTTTGGAGAGTAAATATCATTTTGAAAGGGGCTCACAACATACACTGTTCATACGTAGGACAAGGGCGGGATTGTATTATAGCCGTTATTTTCAAGCATGATAGGTTTACGATATCCAAGTAGCAGAGGTCCAGGACCATGATTCAAGGACTCAAATATTCCCCCACAGGGGTATCATTGCATATGCGTGAACTAATGCTAAAACCATCTGATTACGTGCCATTACCATGCGGTATCAAAGAAACGTTGAAACACATTTGCGGGAACAAAATCAAACTGCGGTGTCTTCGAGTCCATAAAAATCCAGACGTGGGAAAAAGCATGCCCTTGCGTCCATCAAAAGAGTGCCACGTAATTCGTGGTCGTCAATCCTATTGTAAATCGGACCTGCTTTCAAATGATAATACGGTAATACCAGCTCCATCTCGGTAGTTAAGGAGCCGTTTAAAGGTCACCATCACCCATGGTGTCCTGCTTGCTGCCGCCAAACTTCACCGTAGCCTGAAGACAGGTGATGGGCTTGCCCTCGGCGGTAGCGACATCAGCGAAGACGTTGTATGTTCCCTATAACATTTGTTAATACTGGTATCCAATTTATTCGTTGCATGTGGAAAAAACATACCGGAGGAACTTCCTTGGGAATATCAACAGACTTGGTGATAGATAGGACTCCCTTCTCGATGGGGCACTCGAGATCAACATTCCCAATCTGTTCGCACAGGTCGGCCCTGGTAGCAAGGAGGCGGATCAGACCGTACTTGACGACAATGTCGACGTAGGCGCCTTCCTCGATACGTTCGAATACGGTTCCCGTGGCGCGGATAACCAGCTCAGCACCACTATACACATTATTCATCAGTTAGCAGAGAGGTCTTTATTCAACATAGCAATTCATCTTCTCCTAGACAAACGTACGACTCAGGAGGATTCGGTAACAAATCGACGCTCTCTATCTTGATAATATCATTGCTGTGGTCCGAATCGCAGAACTCGAGCGGAGAGTCACCAGGGACCTTCTGCACGTCCTTGATGACGACTTCATTAGATCCGCCAAACCAGCCTCCAGCCGAAGCCAGGCTAGCGGACATGGCAGCCACGCAGGCGGTAGAGAATCTCATTGCGAATTGGGGTGATAAAACTCTTAGATTAGTGAGTGACGAGACTTGCTTGAAGTAAGTAAAGCGAAGAGAGTTTTATGTTTTTATGGTTTCGGGTTACACTTTGTAGATAAATAACTAACTGCTCAACAGAAAGTGGGTGAAGATATGGAAGAGACAAACAGTGGATTACGATAAAGCTAAAGAGGCTAAGGAGGTCTGTGCTATAGGTATGCTACATACATGCTACGCAAGGTTGGGGTGGGCACGTCATGAGACGACCATGTGACGCTTTGATTGGTTGAATTGCCCTAGCCTTGGCTCTTTTCAGCAGCCACCTGAAATATTGGCTTATGTAATGTACGTACCTGAGCGTCAAGGTTGTTGAGATTGTACTTTTTCTTTTTGCCCGACATTTCTTTAATAGTATGACAGGTAGACAGGTAGACAACGAATTAATCACAACAAAGGATCGTTATATTCGAATGCCATCATCTTCATTATTATAATCAGTAATTAACCTGATACTCGCAAAACTTCATCGGAAGGGTATAATAGACATTTCAGTACTCCTGTAAGCGATATCCTTTATCGTTATCGACTTCAACAATCCCGATCAATAACAACCTAAAACAACATTCATCCTAATCCTAACGACCCAAACTTGAATATCGTAACCCAAAACAGAAGACAAATTTGGAACAACCACGGAGAAAGCCAATACGAGGGCCAGATCTCCATTAGAGTGATTCTTCGGTGAGCCTAGTGTATTATGCCACGAGGCTTAAACCCCAAGCATTGGGTTTAGTTTAGTAATAGATCTTTTCCTCCCAAACAGGTGGCCGCACGGCCTCCGTATCCCATTCTAGTTTGTTCTTGTCGCTTAGTATACATCCCTCATCCGTGATTGGGATCACCTTGCTAGTATCCCGGATCTCTTGCTTCGAGATGCCCATAGGGTCTTCGGGGATCCAAAGTAGCGGAGTTGCGCTGCTGACCGAAGGTGGGAAGTAGGCGTTACGTTCAACCTCGTCCGTGTATAGATTGCTCATGTCGACCTGGTCGTGAGGCACAAGCTTGCGCATCGTTTCATAATCACAGTACTGCCACGGCTTCAGGAACTTGGCCAAGAACCCTGGCTTCTTCCCCGCAACGGCAGTATCGCCAGAGGATATCTTCTTAGCATCCGCGATACCATCATGTTCGCCGTTCTGGGCAGTAGATGAGCTAGTGTGTCGAGTGGAACTCTCCACGTGCAGGGACTTTGATTCCTCTTCAACCCCAAGAGTCCGAGGGAGATTATAAAGTAGAGGGTCGATGGCGTGGTTGATAGTTACGTGGAATAGAATAGTGAAAACGAGGAACGCCACCATGAGAATCAAGGGACCGATGGCCACCGAGGTAGCAAAAATTCCAATCATACACAACTCAGCAATATAGATGCCAGAGAAGAGCTGTTTCAATGCTCGAGGATATATTAAGCCTCGAGTGTCGACGCTCGTGTCCGTAACAAAGAAAACATTGTAACGCCATGCGAGGTAGAATAGCGAGAGACCGACGGTAGCAAAACCAAGCACCAGTGGGGCGATAGCAGCGTACGTAATACCTATCACTATTAGTTATATGAATTTCAAAGGCCAAGTCCGTTGAAGAACTTACTAATCACGGCGATATTGGTATATACCGGCAATACGCTACCCCAAGATATGGCGCTGAGGTTTGCCCATTTGTTATAGAGAGCACGTGGCGTCCCTGCTAGGAATTTATACATGATCGTGAAAATTACGAATCCGGCAACCTGAGAGAGTACGCTTGCAGCGACGCCTAGACCCTGTACGATGAAGTACGAAATGTAAAAATTAGAGGCTTTGGGAAGGTTCTCTGCTAGAACGCTTGTAATCGAACCAGGGTTTTTGGATATTTGTGCTGCGACAGCTGTTGCTGATGATGCGATCGTTACTACCAAGAAACCTTGAATAAGCTGGAAAAAGAAGTACGCATTCTGAGTGAATAACTCGACTCGCGATAGGGAAGGCTCTCCTGAGAGCTTAGCACATACTATATCCAAGTGTTAGACATGTAAGATAACATACAGTAGAGGATTCAAACTTACATCTCATGATCACAGGTACAAGCGACATGAGAATAGATAAGGCAACACTGGGTAGCAACCCCTGAATGAATCCCAGAACGACATCAGGGATCAACAAGAGCCATTTAAGGAAGAAGACCTGGTTAGCAAGATATGTGATATTCGATATTGCACCGACCACAGCGACCGGAATCGCCCAGAAGATGATGAGTGCAGTGATGAAGGCAAGTACTGCGAATCTTCGAACAATCCTCTGCCACCATGATACCTTAAGCGCACTCCAGACAATTTCGCCAGGCGTGATGCCGATATATTTGGGCGTCATCTGTAAGGCCTGGTGATGTGACAAAACCTGGAAGGCTGATTCGGCGTCTGCCTGGTGATAGAACTCGATGAAGACACTGGGGATCTTTTTACATTTTCCAGTGCGGTATTCTCCCTGCGCAGCCTCGACGGCGGGGATGAGGCGTCCCAGCTCAGTCCGGCACCAGTTAATAGTGTCGACCTTCTTGCCTACGAGACCAAGAAGTCCAAGTCGGTGGGTGGGCCGTTTCTTCTCGGGAACCCAGCGAGAAGCTAAGCTACCCGACTCCGCGTCTAGAGGTGCTTCAGCTCTCTCGTTGTTAGAACCACCCTTTTTAGCCGACTTGATGCGTTGGGCATTGGCAAGCTTTAGCAGCTTTACCTCCGCCTTTTCCAGTTTCATAGCGACCTTGTCGCGTTCCTTAACAAGATCGTCCAGCTTCTCCGTATCGCCCGTGATCCAAACATGCTTGACTGAGTCGCCAAAGATTTTTCGTAATCTAGCCTCATCCAGATATTGGTCGGGGACAGAAACGAAGAGCACAGTTCGCGATGAGATGCGGTTAGCATAGAAAGGCGAAAGCAAAAATGCCTGTCGCAAGTTGACGTAGAATATGGATTCGCGTAGGATCGTGTACATGACAAACCCGTAAAAGATCCAGGCCATAAAGGTGTGAGCATAGTAGCGGCTCGACTGCGTGTCCTTATCAACGCGAGCGTAAGAGAGCATATCTACCTGCAAAGCATTCTGATTGCTCCCCGTGGCGTTCACAGGGAAGAGCACCGGCCATAGTATACAGCATCCCGCGAAGCAGATGGTGACTAGAATGCGCAAGAATCGGAGGAAGAGATAAGCATCTAAGGATTGATGCTGTAGTGCATGGATATCAGGAATCTTCCAAAATTCGCCAATCCAATTAAACCACCCATTGGGGAGAGCTGGTGATCGTTCGCTAAGTTATAAAGAGTGAGCATGTAAATTCAATCATGGAACAGGCGATTTGCTACGAAGCTCTTAACTTACCTCGGACGAAGACTTCCTAGATAGGTTCGAGGAGCATAGTATCGCCTCTGGCTCTTTCGCAGAACCAGGAAGATGGTGAAATAAATGCCGGCAGTCAAAGCAACAGGCCCGAGAGTGAGGTAAAGAGCTATCCAAAATTAGCAATTTTCATTTGGCCTTGATGGTTTTTGTCTTGATATCTTACAGGCAGCCGACGCCGGCGGAGTGTCACCCGGGTCGCTCATCCTTTTTGTAGATGATGCCTCTGCTCGATGGGAGGCGTGGTAATTATGATAGGCCGAGGAGATGGGTGTTAATTGAGCCTCGAGCAGTATCGGAAGAGAGCTCAAAATTGTAGTAATCCAATTGACCGCGCCAAGTGTATTTTTTCAACAGCTACGGGCGGTGTATAGAAGAAGGAGAACAACAAAGGCAGATTACAGAAGACGTAGGCGGCTATGTACGTGTAACTCGAGCCAAAGAGGAAACTATCAGCCCCAGCAAATCGTCAGCGATCGTCGTTCCGTAGATCTGGGATATATATTGTCAATATCACTCCCTATCAAAGGAAAAGCGATATAGTACACAAAAAGAAAAAGAGTGTGTGAATTGGTGAATGCATGCTATGGTCTGTATGACCGGTATTTGATATGAGCGCGAACCTCAACTACAAAAAGTCTAGACCTTGTGTGCTTGTGTGAGAGTTGCTAGAAAATTTCAGGATTTAGAGACGATCCTTGCTGTCAGATCTTCACAAGCCCTATCACAAGCTTGGACGGGGAACTGGGATGGCAGGATGGTAAGATGGTAGGTGTTTGCAAGGGTGGGGAAGTTATGACGGCAGGACGGTGATTCTCGAGGACCCCTTGTCGAGCTGATCCATGGTTCGTTCAACCTTGGAACCTTCCAATTTCCTTTTTAGATCCACTAACTTTTGGGTAAAATGTTAAGTAATCGCGTCCCTCTACATTTACGGGATCCTCCCGATAAACTTTTGGCAGTTGTTTAATGTTTAGAAATAAATCGGTTTCAAGTATATGAGAATTCTATAGATAGCAAAAGGAGTATATAAAACAAACAATAAATGCACGATACCTTCAGGAGGTTCCAATGAAGATGGGTATACCCTTATCTTTTTAGAACACAATTCATATGTCGCTTGCTTTATTGCTCTGTCACAATGTTGCAATGTTGCAATGTTGTAAGTTTTAGGATTGGCGCTTCGTATAGTGCAGGGCAACAGGACAGAAACAGGTTTAAAGCAAGACGAAAACAGCAAAACACGACGCTCCAACTTCCAAGATCTCACTTACATTAGGAACATGTAAGTGCATTACAGCAAAAACTCTATCGTCTCGGCTGCTTCTGTTTATTATTTTATTACCTACATAGTTCGCTCAATTCATTAATGACATCAGACTATCGATATATTGAACTAAGACTATTATAGGTCCGGCATCAACTAATGAACACGGCGGCTAAGCAGCTAGCCAGCACTCGCGTGCCATTCCATTCCTAGCGAAGACATCTGACGATATGGGGCCGCACCAACCCGCTTGCGTACTACATGTCATAGTACCTACATGCTTACACGTGTATAAGTCTTTTATCGTAGGGTAGCGTATGAGCTAAAACGCTAGAATTCGACGCCAGGCCTCCGACAAACGTTGTTGCTGTAATTATTTTCTTGTCTCGGCCCAAAATATGTGATGGTACTTCGTACCACAACTAATTCTAGCCCAAGCCACCGCGAACGAGGAGATTCGTGCACGGCATCACTGTCTTGAGTTGCACGACTCATGCAATAGATTCTTTCAGCTCTTCTCTATATACCTTAATCGGGTATACTTACTTGCGCAGCGAAGCGATACGTGGGATATATAGAGATGGAATTGCAACTAGTTACGAGATGGCGCACGCAGTTAATCCTTTCTGTAAAACCGAGCGAACATGATTTTCGCGCCGTCGTGCAGAACCGCAATGGAGCCGGAAAGGCATGGATAGCTGGCTGCCTCCGGTCACGATAGTTCATTTCTTTACATTAACAATTGCGCCTAATTAAGTTGGATAGTACCTAAATTACATATCGTTGACGTGTGGCGCCGGCCCTGCTCCGGATGTGGGAAGACCTAAAAGTATATTTAGGTTTCTGCAACATGTCTGTCCCATTCTCATTCCAACGCGACACTGACTTCGACTTCCAGAAACACGATAGGTATTGGAAACGTCTGTTGTGATCAAGGAGTGAGACCGCTATTTCTTGTACGGCGAAGATATAGTTTCTACGCACACCAAGTCTAAGACTCATTCATTCCATACGTGTCTACTTTCCTAGAGGCAACCGAATCCGGATAAAGAAGTCGGTACTTGGAGCTTCTTTACGCTGTGTCTACTAGGTGTCTATTAGTCTTCGTGAAATTGCAAGTAACTAATAGCCTCTTTTTCTCGAAATACGTAAGATTCGGTGAGATAGGCAGATTCGTTCGCTAATCCTAGAGTTTTCTTCTTAGTCTTTTCGTCAGAATCGATAGGTACATGTATCTATAGACGTTCTTATTAGGCGTCCTGAAGCAAATATTTTCGAGCATGCTTATTACAGGCATCTATCATGCCGCTTTCATTGTTCGCGGAATTTTTATGGCACTAAAATGGCACTGGAATGTTGTGCAGCTCAATGGATTGTCTTGCCATTCCGGTGTCAAAAGATATTTCTTTCACTCTTTTAATGATTCATCAAGAATAGTTCCCATACTGACCAGTTCTTTCTTCCTGTCTACTCTCGCTTTCCTTCGTAAAAAAATATCTATCTTATTCCCAGAAGGAGTGTTGTCACCTTACTCGTACTAGCTAAGACGTGCGCTGAGTGAGATTGCTTTCAAGATGGCCGACGGACAAGTGCAAGATGTGTACGATGGCATGGATGGCTACGTTGGGGCCACTCACTGGTCAAAGCCATATTATTCTAACCACTACCATGAAAACCCTTCGTCGAATCCCAAAATGCTCGACCATGTCAATTGCGGTTACTTGTCTACCCCTGGCCGGCCGCCAACTCTAGAAGCTCTAAAGCAGCACGCCCAGTCTCTAACTTACTTGATATCGACCATTGCACCGAATACTATAGGAGCTGAGGTCGACAACGAAAACCTTCCCCAGCAAGATGAACAGGGACGGAAGATACACCGGGACACGTTTCCAAGACACCAAGCTTATGACTGGTTGAACAACTTGCAGGTTCCGTATGATAACATCGACAAGGCCCACCGAATGCCACTGAATAGTTTAGTCAACTTAGTCAAGCAAAATAGCGATGAGGAAGGCGTGGTATTCCATTGCCCGCTAACCGAGACTGACCTTAAAATGGTCGAAGATGATCATGCTCAGCTAGTCCGTCCCTTTCAAACTCACATGACATTGCTCATGCATGCCAACGAGTGTCTCGAGAGACTCGACCATGAGTACTCGGCCATGGGTGGGATACTCGGAATCATTCCTACTGATAAAGACGAAGTAACTGAGCACCCAGAGCTAGAGAACGTAAAAGCAACCTTGGTCGGGCAGTGGCTCTTGCACACACAACAACTCATGTGCCGCATGCATGAACTTGAGATCGCTTACGCCAATGCAATGGATCTTCTTGCGAGCGAGGCTATCGTTCCGGCGCAACACTTGAGCGTACAAGGCCCAGACGGACGGTCTGGCAGAGAAATCGTGTTCCCGCAGGATCGCTGGATATTGGCCAACGCCGGAGAGGATGTTTTTACGTTTATCCATCAGATGCTCGACAAGAGCGAAGCAAAGGGCGTTTCACGAGATCGCCAGTGGTCTCATCGGAACGTGGTTGGAGAAGCGCTACGGGATCGAAACGACGAGGGAGAGGACTACCTCCGGGGTATCGCCCACGTCGACCTCGAGACTAGATTTTATAGATTAAGAGGTAGCGGCCACGGTCCCATATTCGTCCTCCCGGCTTTCTCGGACCGCCCCAACACGTCGTACACCAAAGAGATAGAAAATCGGCCGACGGTAGTTACAATCCCAGCACCGTCAAACCCAGACCGGACTTCGGCCTGGGACAAGAGGCACAGGGACATGGAAAAGAATATCAAAGAGCTAGGGATTGAGGTTAACCGTCTAACTGTTAACAAAGCTGATCTCGAGAGCGCCACTAAGATACAAGAAGAGGAACTAGGGAGGCTAAACCATCTCAACAGGATCTACGAAGAGGCTCAAGGCGAAGACTCGGTCAAGACGTCGGAAAGGATAGCAGCGATCGAGACAGAAAGAGACGCCCTCCGAGCCAAGTTCGAAGAGGGCGCCGCAGAACGCAATAACCTGAGGGCAGAGTTAGCCGCGTACAAACGGGGACGACAACAGGCGCAAATCAAAGTTCCCACAGGAGCCACCAAGACCGAGGACGGCTACCTAATAACCCCCTCTCTGCTCGAGCAGTACGAAGAACGCAATATGGTGATGAGTAACGCGAAGGCAGGAGTCGCGCGGGTCAGAAGTGTACTGGAGCAGCTTGCTCAGGAGGGGCAGATAAGCCGGGCAGAGTTTGGCTGGATGGAGCAGATTGCCGAGTGCATTTGATCCGAACTAGCTCTACGGGGAAAGGGGGAGGGTTGGATTTCGAGCATTCAGTCACGACATTTCCGGTTGTTAGTCTAAGATGGATTTGGGATTGGGGCACCTTATTTCTTGGTTTAGAGGAGAGATACATGGACTTTATTCCATCCCTCACAACTAATGAGAGGTACCTAATGTATGTGGTATATGTAGGAGATACTTAAGTATAGGTTTAACCAATAATTTTATTGTGGTGACACCGCGTATGTATTGGTGCGGTATTGAATTGCGAATTACGCGTTGTGCTGATCTCACGAAAGTCAATCTTCATTAAGTGATGGCTGTGACCTTTGGGACTTCTCGGAAGTTCCCGATATATTATTTCTTTTCAGGAACGTTGCCCTGACAACCGACTTTCAACCCCTCCAAACAAGAATTCCCTGGTGCTACCCTGAGATGCATAGTTGGCCAAGAAGGTCGGAAAAGAAGAGAAGAAATAATAGGAAAATCTGCTATAGAGTAATATCGATCCTATGTAGTTATTTGACTTGTTCGAGATATTCCTCTCATCTCTTGTAACCACAACTCCGTCTCCCGTCAGTCTGTTCTATATTGTTTGGCCCCCAAACAACGCCAGTACTTTGTTTGTATGACAAGCTTACAAGGTGTGGTGCCAATAGATCCCCCGCCATCATCCATAATCTGGGGCATCTGTCCTGTACGCCAGGCCAAATAACAAGACCCTACCTTGCTCCGTGCTCTTCACCTAACCCTGCTGCTTGAAACAACTCATAACTCATCCCCGCCTAGCTGTCTTGATCGTGGAACCTAGTCTCTCACCTATAGGTCATGAATTGAGAATCGGGGTTGTGGGGTTCGCGTTATAGTCGTCGATTTACATCTTTTCAAGTTGTTACTCACGGGTTTCTGGATGCGATTGGGCTAAGCCAGGTAGACGATGCTTCCTACAGGGTTGAGCTAGGTAGAGCGATGCATTATTCCTTGGGGACGACGTCGATGTTTGCCAGCGGTACATCAAAAGCGTCACGGGTGACGGCAGGTATCCGGTATCTGATACTCGTTACGGCCTGGGCGCGGTTCACGACACTTGGTGTAGCTCAGACATTGCCGTATATTCCTACGAGTATCTTCATTCCAGAGTTGAAACCCGCGCCAGCCCAAGACAATGCGACTACCAACGTGGCATACATATTCTCGCCACAAGGAGGTTGGGTCAACCTGTTAGCGCTCAACTTTTCCGGAAACCTCCGAGCTTCATCGTTGCCCTTCCAAACCTTGTCGTCAAATGTACCCTTTCTTGATACAAATAACACGGCATTCATACCGTCGCTTGCGGACAATGGATCGCTCATCGTCTACGCCGGCGACTGTTCATCGCCAGCAAGTTCCGAAATCTGGACGTTCAACCCGTCTCCTAACGACGATGCGTCGTCGTCTTGGATCAAAGCGAGCACTACGCTAGCGACTGAGGCAGATGATGTACAAGTAGGACCAAGCTTCTTGGGCACCGGCTTTAGCTTTTCAAACACTCTGGCGCCTGTGCTATCACAGGCCAGCACTTATGTTTATGGAGGAATGTGTCCCGATGAGACCGCAAACGGAAGTACACCACAAGAAAAGGCCGCCTATTCGAACCAGATGGTTAAGATTGCGTCATCTACAACTGGTTCGGGGAAATTTATAGTCGGCCCAGTCTCTAATAATGGTCCTCCGGTGCCTGAGGCTGGGTTCACATTCACCGGCTTATCCCCTTCTGTCTCCAATCGATCAGGCATAGTTACCCAACAAATCAACTATGTACTATTAGGTGGTCATACCGAGAACGCATTTATCAATATGAGCACCGTCGCAATATGGAGTTTACCGGAGGAAAGCTGGAGTTTCATTTCCAACATTAACGTAGGGAATTCGAGTTCTGCCAACACCGAACTTGCGGTCAAAAGCAACGATATAGACACGATAGACAGTCGATCTGGCCACACAGCAGTACTAAGTGAAGACGGGACTTCTTTAATCATTCTTGGCGGTTGGGTTGGTGACTTAACTCAAGCTGCTACACCACAACTGGCTATTCTCAACATCGGAGCTAGCTACGGCGGGAATGGGGAGTGGCAGTGGTCTATTCCTGATGTTCAACCACCAGGTCCGGGATTATATGGACATGGTGCTGCACTACTACCTGGAAACATTATGATGGTCTACGGAGGCTACAACATATCATCATCTGGAACCACAACTAAGAGACAAGCCTCTAGCGGTGACAGTATGCCGATGTTCCTCAACCTCACATCAATGAGCTGGTCTAGCGATTATACAAACCCGACATTCGCTGGGACGGATCCGGGCGGTGACTCGATTAGTGGCGATAGCGATGTTGGTACACGCTTAGGAATTGGACTAGGCATCGGCTTAGGTTGCGTAGCTATTATCATTGCCATCCTACTATTCCTTTTATACCGCCGCCGGAAACGCCACAGGCGTACGATCCGGGACTCCGCCATCCGCGCACTCGCCCAAGACACCTCTCGATTCCTGCCCCACGACGACGAAATGACAGAGCAAGATCACCCTGGCGGAATTTGGTATACAGGTGGCCCAGATCCGTATCTGCGGGGGAACCGCTCGTTCGGCTACCAGAGCCTGCAGACAGCCCGTACCAGCTTAGACAACGGCCAACAATCGTGGTACGGCGGCATGTCCCCAGCGCAGGTAGCAAGGAAGCCGCTGTCCCGCCGAAATACGTATGATCCGCCATCGAGTGGGATCCACCCCATTATTGAAGCAGATGAAGACGGCTCGCTTCACGACGGTGACATTACAAGCGAGCCCGTTAGCCCTCTGCGGGACATGAATACCGATGGTAGACATGACTCCGACCCGTTCCTCACGCCGACGCAAGAGAATCAGATTTCGTTCCCACCCTCCAACCGTGCCTCAATAACGCCCAGCCCCGAAGAGCGCCGTCTCACCACGGACCCGGAGGTCCAGGACTGGATGACCGATGTTGAGGCCATGGATGCGTTACTAAACAGTCGCAGCGCGGCGCGCATATCAGCAGCTTCCGGGCAGATATCCCCAACGAGACGGGGCCCCGATGACTCGCGAACAGAAAGCAACGTCTCCGAGTCCAACCGCAGTAACCTAGGTGTGAGTCGCTCGGACTCGGTGCGCTCAGTCCTCCGCACCGGATTCGGCATTGCAGCCGCCGCCTTAGGGGCTACAAGCGACGAAGGGCGCGGGGGAAGCAGCAGTTCGAGCTCGGCGCCTAGTTACAACACTGCTAAGAGTAGTTTCGCAGCGCTCCAAGCCGAGGGACCGGCTTTGCTTATGGGGAAAAACCGGGACGATGACGAGACGCCGGGAAGCCCGAGCAAGAACAAGCCGCGGCGCAACTGGCTCGGCAGTCTGCGCCGCGCGTTCAACGGCCCCAGCCCATCCGAGACACCCGATAGAGAGAGGCCTGCCGACGATAGCTTCGCGGACGCAAACGATTACGATATGCGGCGCAGTGGTCTGAGCGATATTGCGGCTGGAGGGTTGCTGCGCAGGAAGAGCGGGAGAGGGGACTGGGAGGGCATGGAGCAGAGGTACAGCGAGAAAGGTAAAGGCAGGGGTACAACAAGTGCGAATACCCAGGAGCGCGCCACGGCGGAAGAAGAAGACGAGGAGTGGGATATCGAAAAGGCCGTCGAGAGACGGCTCGTGCAAGTCATGTTCACGGTGCCTAGGGAGCCCCTGCGCGTGGTCAACGCCGAGCCCGACACGGAGAGCGGCAAGGACGTCATGGTTGTGAGTCCGGAGGTAAATCGGGAACAGGACATAACAGAAAGTCGTGGCGCGCCCGTTACGATAGAAGAGCAGGATCTTGGTACTCCGCTCCCAAGCTCAAATGAGGACGACACAAGTCTAGCCGAAGCTCGAGAAGCCGAAGCTCGAGAAGCCGAAGCTCGAGAAGCTGAGAAGCAGATCCTGCGCGAAGTAGGCGAGGAGCTGGAGGCCGAGTGGAAGCGCGTTACGGATAGGGGCAGACAGCCAAACACCCCGATACATCGTACGCCCACGTCGTTACGAGAGGAGGGCGTGCGTCTACTAGGCGTGGAGCCGGGCAGCGGGTCCCGGAAGAGGAAGCCATCGCGGTCACCAGTGGTGGACCCGGACGGCGATGTGTTTTCCGCACAAGTAGTGCGGCTGGAGCGGCCGCGGACACGGGTCCTAGCTATGGTGGAAAGCCTCGAGAGTCTGCATAAGAGCCAGGAGAACAGCCCCGCTGTGTCCCCCATGCGGTGACATGGCGTTGTCTAGTGTCCAGCACCTGGTATAAACTGTATGTACCTAAGTTACTTACTGTACGCGCAACCTCGGGATTAGGAGTCGGGAACGAACGGAGTTATCACTCGTCAGGGCATAGCGGACCATCGTTTGGCAAAGGCGTTGTTGGGTTGGAATCGCGTTGTGTTGTTTTACTTTACTGGGCTAGGAATGGACGCATCGAATATTCCCCCTGGGTACGGGGACTGGAAGGAAGTAGAGATAGGTCTACGTACATGTATTGCGATGTGTTGTCGCGAATAGAATTCGTTTACTGAAGAAAATACCCGTTTTAGTTTATCATATTCTAGCTATGCTTGCACTAACAGAAAGCCTGACGTGATTGTGGTATCTGTATTTGTTTAAGGTATGGGAGGGCGAGCAGTCAGTATTGTTCTGATACGCTGTCCTGTATGCTACGGAGGAATGGTCATACAACTATTTGTCTTGCAAGGGGCTGGCTGAGTGCGTTTAATGTAACCGTAAGAAGCGAGTCCCTGTTTTTCTACTTTAGGTATTTCCTCGTCTCAATAAGTATTATATATGTCTCAGCGGCATGCAATCCAAGAGATGAGGGTGAATAGTATATAGGTATTAATTACCTTAATTATGTACCTAAGTTAACCTAGGCTCCGAGCCGCAAGGTAGAGGCTCGTTATAACTTGCCCAGACGTATTTGCTCTATAAGGTCGTTGGCTTCTGGCATGTTGTATCGATGGACAAAGATCTTGCCATACTGGAGATAGGCCCCTTGCCGTCTGTATAACATGTGTTACTAAATAGATCAATACATACCAATTCTGCTTATGTTTAATCCATATTTTAGACCCGTAAGACATCAGTAAGTCTTCCTAAGAGATTTGAGACGAGTGTCTCGACCCCTAATACAGGTACATATTATACCTAAGGTAGCAATTCAAGACGTATTTTTATGTTTCACATTCCTAAAAATCCAACACAATTCCGCTTCATACTAACTAGATGAGACGTCATAGCTAGTCACGTTTTACATGAACAGCACGCGACTGGAATATGTACGCGAGTTCGGGTTTCACTATTCGCCGTCGTCCTACATTATACAGACTGCCGGCCGCACTACCGTAGCAAAGGGCGAAACGGCGCGCAACAGAGGTCTGTGTTCGTACGCCTCCGGTAGCCAACATGATCGGTCATGCTTTTTCGGTAATCCAATTATGTCGGAAAACGGGGAATCGAGACCTGCAGTATGCGAATCTCCGACCGGTATTCTCTGCCGCTATCATTCCCTACATGGTCAAGTATAGTCACTATGGTTGATAGGTAACTATCCCGAGGTAACCTGTGTAACTTAGATATGAACAAGCCTGTTTCAACTTAGGCTTCCCATGTGCCCTGATATATTTGTGTATCTAACATTAAAGAATTCCAGTGTGTAGTCTCGGCTAGCCTAGTAATGATAGAAGGATAATCTTTGTTTGGAAAAGAGCAACAACACTCCGCCCAAAAACTTCAGCTAGTGGCGTATCTTGTAATCGCGGTATATACTTGTATAATCTTACAAGAGATTTCTTGAGTACTTTTCTAAGCCACCATTGCCTTGGCTTTACTTGACTAATATGTCCACAACCGCCACTGGTGCTCAAACACTTACGCACAACGTCGACGTTTAGCGAAATTGCTTCTCGGTAATTTTAGCGCTAATACAGTCTTACAAAATACGCGTACTTAAGCCAATGGTATACCTAACCAAATAGGTACAAGATAGTATACTACTACGTATCCCAACGATTTGGTCTGGCCGAATGTAGCAGTCGATCTAGAACGATCGAAGCTAGGTAGTGTACTGTGTAGAGAAGATTTCAGGGACTCTACGGCCTGTCTATCACCTAAGGATTATGGAGTGGATAGGGCACCTACGTACCTCTTGTCAACGTACTTTGCATATGGAAGTGAGGAAAAAAACAAACCGTGGGGGTTTATGTCATCGGAGCATGTCAATGCAGCTAGCCGTGTAGGAGGCGTCTTTCCAGAGAGCCCGTAACAAAAGCCGACAAATGAAGTAGGTTAATTAATATTCTCGTGGTCTTTGCTCATTAAGATCTTCAGGTGCTTCTCGCCTGAAAACGGCGCCGGCATAGCAGGTTAATATAAATGTGCAGAACCTATGCAGAAGAGCCAAGGTTTAGCCCAATGCTTTGATACAATAGCTAAGCAACACGCATAATCGCGATGACGACGTGTTCACCCGACAAGGCCTCGAAGCCTAGACACCCGCTTATTATGTAGGAGTCAGAGGGCTGACAATGGTGTAGGATCTATGAAGCATGGCCTCGTCGATCATCATCTCAGGGGGAGAGCTAAGCACTGGCCACGCACATCTGCGGATGTTCCGAAGAATTAGATAAACCTCAATTAACCAATCATACCCCGTCCGTACCTGTTGAGGCGTCTTACACACTAACTACTTCACTAATTTTTTACTGGTTCGAGTTGTGCCCTATTTGAGCTTGAGTCTACGCTAAGGCTAGCCAGGCGCATCGATTTTTAAAATTACCTGAAGATAGAGACACGTCCCGATATGATTTTAGCCTTCAAGGCTGGCAATACTGTACACCTTCGGCCTGCCAATGACGTCGGAGAATAAGAATAAACCCCTGACCCGGGACCGACGGGATCCTCTGGAGTCTCGACATTATCAGGCCTTAATATCTTATGATATTTACCTACCCTGCAATAATACACTACGGATGCGGCTGAGGTGCACGGATCCGTATCCGAACCTCTATCCCGTTAGGGAACAGGGTTACGTTGTGAGTACCTAGATAGATCTTACTAAAAGAAGCCATATCTAAATGGAAGCCGACACTTGGTAAGTTATCTGCAACCCTGCTCCTATAAACTTTTACGATCTTATTCAACGGGTTTAATATCTTAATCTTCTTGTAGAACCAAGGAGACAAAAGAGGTTTTCTGTACCTACTTGGCAGAAGGACGTCAAAAAAGGTGGCGCACCTACCAGGATAATTGTTAGAAAAGGTGCGCCAGCTTTTTTGACGCCTTTCTGCTTGGTTACTCGTAATGATATACGAACCTCGGCTTAGGGTTTAGTGGATCTATGATATCGAAGTAATGATAATATACTAGTTTCACTAAGAGAAGAGAATTTTAAAATGAGATGCTTCCAGGCTTACTTTGTCGTCGAAAGTGGCAACTCCAATCTTCTGACGATAAAAAGGTTAAAAGTAACAAATTGGAGAGGTTGGTTTGCTATCGTCTCTTTATACAGAACAGGCTTAGAAGTAGATTGCTTATCTGTATGGAATTATACCTAAACATCGGAGTTCCGATATTAACTATTTCATGTGTACGCATTTACTGCCGCTGATAGTACCACCATGCATACGCCGTGTTATCAATGCCTTCCCGGCCTAAAATCGGAACAAAAGGATGCATCTCGGATTTGCATGCGGAGCGGTGGACAAGTCTATCCTGAACAGGAAGGCCACTTAAGCCGAGACAGCTTCAAAACGTCATAGATTTTCGGCAATGAGACCTGACCGAGTAAGGAAAGCTCACATTTACTTAAATACTTAAATTTCAGGTTTGATTTTAAAGTGCGTGTATGAAGCTTACTTTACATTGTCCGAGTAGGTCTAAGGCAATTGTTCTCGATTGAAGCTATCGTCGTCGGGATCGTGACTGAGTTGATACCCCCGCACTGAGAATCGCTGAAAAGTAGGTAGCTAACTATGTAATATGCAGTATCGTGACGCGAGATGCAGATCTACACCTTAGATTTGCTCTTAGGCGGCGTATCCCGGTTGAGAGATCTGCAACTCTGGCACCACCTTCAATCAATTTCTGTTCTTTTCGATGTTATGTGCACAGCGTAACGAGGTCCACATTCCACATTCCGAAAAGTTCGCAGCGATACCCGGAGATCAGGAGGGATTCTTATCGAAGTCAGTCATGCGTAAGTGAGGGACATCTAAGCTAGGTAAGTATTGATTGTGCGTTGTGCTGCATGGTCACGCTTTCATGATCACCTCTTTCATCACATCAATGACATTGTGGGGGAGGGGCGATAAGTACCTAAGCAAACCATCTACAACCGTAGCGGCTAGCCTCTTATTTTCGTATCTCTACCATAGATTATGCACGGTGATGGGTAGTATTGTTGTCTTTTCTTAAACTATGAGCGGTTCGATAACGGCGGCCTGTAGAGGTATTTAAAGTCGACTGGCATACCAGTGTTTCCATAGATAGAAACAGATAAGCAATGAGGTAGGTAAGGAAATAAATAAAAATAAAAATAAAAATAAAAAATCGGTTCACCGTCTCTTGCCGATTGGTGTACTGTATGTGTGTATGTATATTACACAAGCTTCAAGGCTTGCATTGTTCATAATGCCGCGTAGCCCCCAAAAACTAGAGGTTCGGCAAACCAATGCGAGATGCAGATGTGATCGGCTATTTACAGCCACCCCGTATTGCTCACTCGAGGGGGGTTGCAGATATAGTGCGATACACTAAGTCGAGTGATACGAGCAATTGAGCAATCACAGGAGATTCCGGCGTAAATAAAGTACAAGGCGTTCTGGAGACTATCCGACTTGAGATTCGGGCATCCGACATGTGGGTTGATTTACGCAACTTGGAAGCCTCACGAGATGCTTGGGTCTGAAGTGGTTCCTTTGCGACTTTCCGTCAACACCGAGCAGCACGTACACCTCTCTGATCTGTGAGCAACTCAACCCGCTTTCATGAAGAACCATGATTTGGATTGGTCTCCATGCTAGCATCGCACACCACGTAGGTCTCGTACGGTTGCTCAACTCGCTCTTAATGTCCGACCGAATTCCGCTGTAGTAGAAATGGTGAAGCGATAGTAAATGAATAAATGTATGGTCTTCGATAGCTAAGAGGTAGGTTTTGCATGGGTGCTAACGCGAGCATTGTTGAGTCAAACCTATCAAGTAAGGAGTTGGGTGGTTTTTCTTCTTCGATATTTTATATCTTATATTAAAAATAACTAAGGAAAAAGAAAGAGAGTTTAATGCTGTCAAATTCCAGGACGCCACTATTCCTACTGTATACCTAGGCTCGCTAGATAATCCGCAAGTAAAGGTAGAGTGTATGGAGTAGTTATCTGAATTTACCTAGGTAGGTAAGAGAGAGCTAACGCGTGGCGCTGCGTTGAGTACCCAGGTCCAGCGGAAAACAACCACAGTGCTCATGCAAACGTACGGCGAGTGGAAGAAATAAATAAAATGAATAAGCCTCCCAGCTCAGCTCGTGGTTTGTGCGCGGCCGGAAACAGTGGCATCTCGCATCTAAATCCTCATTCTCAGGGGTTTCAGCTCGACGAAGTTCCTACATAGCTGGATACCTACAAATATATATGAGAAATCAAGACGTGCCGCAAAATAAGTGAGATCCGAAATGAAACAAGAGGGTCTGGGATAAGCGAGAAGTCCTCTCGGTACCGTAGTATCGTGAATCCAAGAGGTTAGCAGGATTTGACTGACAACTGCAGTCGGCTAGTCAATAGGCGAGAGTTTTTACATAAAGCCTGCGAATGTTAAGTGACGTTATCGACGTTAGGTAACGACCTATTTAGGCCTTAATCCACCTTCCCAGTGTGGTAATTGCGACCAGTAAGTTCGGTGGTTGCTTTGTCGTTTGAAACTGCCAACGGATCCAATAAACTGGATCTGCAAGTAACACCACTTGATGTTTGGCTGGCAGGCTGGCAGGAAGAGCTCGAAGGGCTTAGCTTACATACCTCTGGCACCTACATACATAGGTGGTAGGTAACTAGAACACTGGCCTCGAAGTTGATAGATTTGGCCGAAACATCCTCTAAGCCCGAAGAAGTAGTCGTTTCTGTACTATGTACCTATGTATACATTTTAGGTACCCTACATATTTACACGGTCTATATACGGTCTTCACGTATCTTGAATTTGAAGCTTCCGTCAAATCTCATTCGCTATTCCCTGAATTCCTCTTCAAAGCCCACCGCGTATTAGTTTCTTCATTCCAAGTTCGTCTGTTCCCAACTTTTACTTCCTCCCTCCTCTTCTTTTTGTTTCCCCTGTCAACGATAGATTCGACGCTATTCTATTTTACTCTGTTCTAACATCATTTCTATTCGAAATCATTCGTTGCTTGAAGTCTTGAAGTCTTCAAGTCCAATACGGCAGCTTCCGATCGCTTCCCTTCGCTCGTTTCACAGGGGCCCCCGTTCATTCTTCGTCGTGGCTCACCGTACCCCTGCTCTCGCTATCTATCCATCGATACATACCACACACTCACTACCTATTCATACCATATTCATAGGGACTTCTCTCAAGTTACATACTTAGTACAAACAAACTAATTGCATTCGGAATTTACAGCGCACGGCCGCTTCGCATATCAAACCGACCTTTTTTGTCCTTTGTCTCTCTCGGTTGCGTGTGGTAGAGTTGGACTGAAAAAGAAACAAACCACTCACCTTGATATCTATACTACCAAATCTACTATTCTATCTATTTCTTCCCCGGTCCCAATAGAGGCCTTTGACGTTTAATCCACTCGTCAACCCCGATCGGCCGTGGACTTGGCATCTGCGACCTGCAACTGCAGTGCTTACGTATCCCAGGCCATCCTAGGTCATCCCAGCAGCAGCTGCTCAGTGATCCTAGCTTTCCCGGCCGCTACGTACCCAAAATCCGTTCCTTCCACCCATAACCCCTGTCTCTAACTTTGTCTACCTGCCCTGCTTCGTACCCTGCTAGCCTGCCATCCACACAACACCACCCACCAAAGCCCACCACAGTGTGTGCACCACTACCTTTAAGGCCTATCTAATCCCTTCCATCTCTCTTCCCCGTCCTGTTCGCTCGTATTTTTCCTCTTTCCTAAGACTTGGTCCGCATTGCACCGTGAGCCGTGCCTTCTTTCCGCCTCTCTTCTGAAGGCATCACAGCTCCACGATCACGTTGGCATTTAGTATTTGGCATTTCTGTTACAGATTTGCCTTTACAACTAGTGACCCTCCGGCGAATCCGCTTGCCTCAATTGAGAACTGCTTGGCTTGTCATGGCAATACTCGCGAGCAACTCTTTCGGTTGCCTGTGACATTCTTGCTGTGAAATATCGGATTGCTTGACTGGCTATTCAAACTACGTTCGTTCGCTGGTGAGTCTACTTCCTTGTCTGTTCGTTGTGGATGAGATTTGGTGATGGTTGAATCACTTCTTAACCTTTATCATACCTGCTAACAGTAGTTCTAATTAGACCTCAAACATTGGATACCTTCGAATCATGCCTTTCACCACCCGATCCGTGGCTCTTGTGGGCCTAATGGCCTTCTTTAGCAAACTTAGCCATGCTCAATCCATCCCTATGGCTTATTGCGCAAGCCTCAACACAGCATCAACAACAGGCAGTATGTTTCTGGATGCATCTAACAAAGTATCTTCTATACATTAGACTAATCTTCCCGAAGACAGCAGTATATACCAATCTGATGGACTATGCCACGACTTCTGCTCAGCCACATTCGCCTTTGCTATTGTTCAAGATGATGAGTGTTGGTGTAGTGATTATGTACCTGATGAGGCAACACAGGTAGATACCGACAAGTGTGATTCGGGATGCCCTGGCTTCCCGTCTGATACGTGCGGAGGCGATGGACTATGGGGATACATGTCTCTGGATCATAAGCCTTCGGGCACCAAGACTGTCGGCTCCACCTCTTCTACTAAATCGCCAACTCCTGTAAGTCACCCAGTTTTGTTTTTCATCTAAGGAATCAGTGCCTCTTCGAATTCATATCGTCTGGGTTCTCATTTCTTCGCCGTGTTTTCGGTACAGTTGCTTGTTATAGGGCTTGGGGGGAATGTTTTGTTAAGACTTAGTCCGACATCAGGAACCTACCACAAGGACGTTACAAAACACGGTCACTGTTACTCCAACAGTTCGCGCGACCACGGCCGTTCCTGTATGCTCTACTAATCTCATATCCTTGTTTCTCATTTTATAAAGCCACTTTTTTGTTGGAAATATTGTACTCATTGATAGTAGGATACATCGAAATCAACGGGAGATGGCTCTACAGCACCCACTACTCCGAGCGTATCTACAGTTACAGCGGGAGGTACTGTCAAGACGGTTACCATAATGCCCACAGCTACAGATAACCCTGACGCCGTGACTTCACCGGATGCTGGCTCAAGTGAAGTGTCATCGAATCAGCACGGCCTCTCAACTGGTGCCGCAGTTGGCGTGGCAATTGGTGTATTTGCTGCCGTGGGCATGGCTATAGGTGCCGGCCTTTTCTTCTGGCTCCGCCGCAGAAGACAAGACCAAGGTGATGCTCTCACAGACTCCCCTGGAAGTCAGCGTGGAAGTTCAGCAGGTATGATGAGCACGCCAACAACCACAATGGCATCGGTATGGGATGGCGATACCGCATCAGGAGGCCGGAGAAATAGTCGATTCATGCCACATGATCCTCGCATGGACCCATTTGCAGCAAATATCTACAGCCGCGAGAATAAGAGCCACGAGAGCATTAACACTCTTCAAGATAACCACGATTATTCGCGAAAAGTGCTTCGAACCACGAATCCTGACCCGCCCGATGGCGAATAAGACTGCATGGTCTAATTTCTATGGATGGATTGGGAAGCCGCCTCAGAAACGGCTAATGATGTACACGATCTCTTTCTGGTCGGGTTCACAATTGGACCATTGCATTGCATTTTCGAGATACCAGGCCGGCGTTTTCAGGAGAATGAGATTCTAGGACAAAGTCAAGGGGTTTTACGCACACATATACTTGGCATCGTAGTGAACGATGACACATTCAATTCTCGATATGGATTTCGTTCTCTGGCTCGGTATATGAATATCCACCGCAAGGGGAGAAGGGTAGTTCACGGCAATTGCGACAGTTAGACCGACACGTACGACAAACAAGCGCCCAGATGGATTTTGTTGGATCTCTGGACTCGATCGTAGGAGATGTGGATGGGTGGCAGACAGTATGGGAGTAAGGGGATGGCACTCGTAGTAAGGACGTACCGGCAGTACATACAGGAATAATAAAAGGTCAATAAGCAATTGCCAACGGTTAATAGTTAGAAGGTTTAAAGCTACTCAAGGATGAGTAAGCTAGGCATATTTGGGAGTCAATATAAGGGATGTTGTTGTCTATATTCGCGTAACCTTATTTTGTTGTATGATAAGCGCCTAGCGCTTCGTAGATAGTAATCACCAGGCACATCTACCTAGTTAGGATTGAGTCCAGGCTAGTACCTGGCATTAGCTAGGATAGATATGGAGGTAACTGCATTACTGTAAGTAGTCCGGGTGATCCGGCTTCACAAAGTTAGGTACAGACAAGCTCTCGATCCTAATGAATTGCTCAACATTGAATTCTGCACTGATCTAGGGGTAGTGCCTTTCTTCATTAGACGAAAACGTTTGATGTATGAATGCACTAATAGCGTACACGTCGGCACATCTAAATGAGGATTGTCGGCCCAGTCATAAGCCCCGCCCAACGGTCCAATATAAAATAATAACGCTCAACTCATATTGGGTTCGATTGCTGATTTGCAGTATAAATGGAGAAAACTAGCCAAATTAGAGATATATTTACCCCTCAGGTTGCAAAGATAATGGAGAGTACCTAACGTAACTCGGAAAGATATCAAAAAGAATTAAGGTCAATCCGGCAATATACAGGTTTCGGCTTATCCATATATCTACCTAGGTATACATACCTAACCTATCATAAGAGGACCTCTTACCACACAGTCCATTGAGTTTTTCCTCCACACTGTAAGTTGGGTATGTATCTTTTGAACTAAGCTCGCTACCGGCTTTTACCAATACAATCTGGCTTTTTTAATCCTTCCCCGCCCCCCCCCCCCCCCCCGAAAGAGAGAGAACGGTTGGACATTGGAACGTTGAAAGATTTACAATTGAAATATGAAAACGAATTCTATCATGAAATAGGCTATTGCTGTGGAGCGACATACAGAATATACCTAATAACTATAGGTACCTATTGTTAGTATGCAGCACTGACCCCTACGACCCTGGTCTAGGACCAGCCGTCTCAAACATTGGCATCCTGTTGGCGCGCGGCATTGCACGCCGATCAAAATCGATAGTCACAACAACATCGACTCTATTCTTTGATAGGTCTCATCGTCTATCATGGGATCTAACTGCATCTGCAACACGTGGACATGTATGGGGTATGAGCCAGAACTACATACTATGTATATTAGAATATAGAAATACCCGTAAGGTATGTAAACACGCAACTTGTGCACTACGTTGATTTTGGTCTGCCCCATAATTGTTACGAAGATTACATACATAAAAGCATGAGTTGTCCTCTTGTCAGCCGAGATGCGTCTAGTTGTTCGAGCAAACCCGGCGGTGACCGTGCGGCGTGACGTATCCAGCCCTATCCTTAAATATCTATGAGCAATACCTAGTAAGCTATCCCCCAGTAACAAACACTAAGGCCGCAAATCGGCTCCAAAAGGTCATGTAATGAAGAGAACACTTCGCGACGCGAGGAACGGCCTAGTGGCAAACGACAAGGCGAGTCGGAATTCGGTATTTTCCACTTTCGGGGCTGTCAATATAAAAAAAGGATGACGACGCTTCAAACATCAAACAGGAGAATTCGGTGTTTTCAGCCACCCCCTTAAAAGCATCAAAGCTTCAGACGTCGAGGCCCTTATTTTAAGAATACGAGACTAATATACAAGATAACCTAACAAACCATTATCTCGGTTATGTCTTTGAAGACATTAACGATGTCTGTGCCTTTGGTCTCGGATTGCAGAATACTTAGGGTGGCTCGGCCTACATGCTGTATGCTTCGTTCGTAGGAGGTCGGTTCACGTTGCCGAATAGATATCTAATCTTACCCAAACCACTTCTCAGCCGGTTTTCTATTAAGAAGTCCGAGTCCGAGTCCGAGTCCGACATGAGTTCTAGACGGCACCCCTTTAAAGGACCCAATATCTCCAGTCACTTAGCAGGTTCATCTTCCTCTTACGGGTCTATAAAGATGTTAATTATCACAAGTAGGACTCAGAAGGCATGGGAATAACGAGGTTGTTCCGCAAGAAACTCTAAATCTAAACTCTGGAGGCTAGCGACTATACATACAGTGCTGTTTATGATGTAGCTCAGCAGGACATATATTCTAGTAATTTCCTATTTAGGTGCGTAACCTAGCCTATGAAAGACTCTGGGAATATCTTCGACACAATAGCCTTCGTTAAAGATTAGGCAAGGGCTTTAGCATGAGTCATACGTGAGAGGAGAATCTTACCCATGGAGAGTAAATAGGGCGTTAGCGATATCACTAAGGCCTGGGTATACACATATCCATGGTCTACTAAAACATTTCAGAGTTGATCTTACCTATCTGACGTTCTATAAATATCGAACTTATGTGCGGAATAGATGCATGCTTCCGATTTTTCCTTGGCGCTCCGTATGATTCTATCTTTTCTCAGGCAGATGCCGAATCGAACTTTGCTAATTAAAAAGTATTTATTCGTAATTAAAGGTTTAGTGTAACAGAATAACTACCAGGGTCTTTAAGATCGTGTTTTCTATCTTCTAGTGAGGGTAAGCATTACACTGCGAAAAGGGGCTACATACCGGTACCTACCTGATAATGACCTCCATTTCACTCTAATTATACTTCCCTACGTTAGGAACGAGGACATTGATACAATCAATAGGAATGATACTTTGATCTACTGTAGATAGTTCTTGCATTTTTCACTGCAAACCACCATAACTAATTGTGTATTTCAACCCATTAGGCGTGTCATTGTACAGAAGAACTACTCTTTCTATTATGATGAGCTATAACCCTAAGTGATAACCAGTTCTCATATAAGGGCAAGTATAGTTATTTCTATGAATAAGACATAGGCCTAGGAAGTTTAGAACCCCTAAATATCGAATACTCGGACCATAAGATGGTGGGCTAGTGTCGAGCCAGATGTTGATGCAGAATTAAGGCTTATCATATATTATTCTACCTCGCGTGACGTTTGAAACTAGTGAAATCTCATGTAGATTTATTGTCATCCTTATATGCGTTATCCATGGCAACCAGGCGAGGTGCGTTTAGCAAGAAATAGGGGTAGGGCCCGGGACAGCATAGGAAGTAGGAACAGAGTTGATATCGAATAGAATTCCTGGTTCAGTAGCCTACATAATAAAAGTCAGCACACAGCGTTTTCGATAGAATTCCATGTTTCTATTAGGAGTGAAGCTTACAGAATAAGCACCGGGAAACGACACGCCCGAGAAAGTTTTAGTGCCGCCACCGGAGACATGAAGCTGAGCACAACCCAAGTAGAACTGTGCGCCGCCTACTTTTTGCGAATTGTGCAACGCAATATGCTCTACTCGGAGAAGATAATCACCCTCGGCCAGGCAAGGGGGATGGTAACCGAGACCTCATTCTTGCCCCAGTTAGGCCAATCAGGCCAACTCCCGGTGAATTTCGGATCATCGTTAAAAATCTTGAACTAGACGTCCCCGTCACCCGCAAAGGTTTTGGCAGTCTCTCCTCCCGGAACCTTTGCCATGTAGAACTGAAGAGGCCCGGGATGCGTAACATTGACATCTACTCGGAAGCCTACCGTGTCGCCAGCCTTGACGGGCATAGTTTCGGGGTTCCCTTTGCCTGGTTCAAGCACCATTATAGATAAGACTAGGGAATGTGTCTGCTTAGAGTTAGTGAACACTTCACAGTGAGGAAGTTAGAAATGTACAATGAGCATGCACAACCGAAGCCAGTGCAAGGGCCGCAACACCGGTGGTCTTCATGGTGAATAGTGATTAGAGTATCTGCCTTCTAATTTCTAAACGATTTTCTTATTTTATGTGCACAGGGCAGGGAGACCTGGTCTGCTTAAAATGGGAGTTCCTAATAACTACGAGATAGAAAAGGGTTGTCCATCGTCCATTATATACCTAAGGTAGACATCTCAACAGCCAAGGCCAGCCAGATGTTGCGATGTAACGAAAATGAGAATACGGGATCTGAAATGACTCACAGCGCGCGTAACGTCGGTATTGAACTAAGGTAGTATAGTAAATCCTTGCTATAAAATCGAATGATGGTCAAGTCCAGTCCAATAGTAACGATACAACTAACGAATTCATGTTGAAGCAGCCCGTATAAAGGCAACATTACTTACGAAGTTCCAAAGCAAACGATACCAAGTCATAAATACCTCTAGATATATTAGGTAGGTAGGTAACTCTAAAATATATCACACAATGTGCGCCTATGACCACCATACGAATACCTACATGAATTTAGCCGTATAGGCGCACCAATCAACATTTCAGTCTTCACCACCTAAGCTTCAACAAACAGCTTATTTAGACCTATGTTAGTCGTCAGAGGATGTAGTGTATGGAGAGCCTCAAATACATTCATGAGGATGTTCTAACTTGAAGGCATTGGTGAATATCACTTAGTTGAGGTTTTAACTTATTCTTTCTCGAGACTGTTTCTTCCTATAACTATTTGTCGTCTTAATAGAATGATAATTAGATATAACAGGATATGGCCCTTTGATCCCATCATTACGCAGGGCTATGTTTTGTTATCTCCATTGTTTAGTAGGGCTCTTAACACGCATGCTCTTGCCTTTCACTGCGTGTTACTATCGCCAGTGGCTCTGTCAGTTGCAATATTAAGGAATTAGTGACCTTTAGCACAACTCCTCACGATCTCCCGCGGCAACAGGCCTTCCACCCTTAAAACCTGGGCCACTAGAAGACTAGCTGCACTGTATTTCACTTCTGGTCCTTCCTTCTTACCTCATACAAGTCATAGATACCTCAAGCTACAATTTCCTTTCTTCCACGTAATATTTTGCGTACTTGATGTGCGGGTCTATGGTTTCCTTCTTCAGTTGATTTTAACCATCTTCAAGCTTCATAGCCCCCATCATTGATCAACATCACAGGGAAGTTTCAACAGGCGAACGACGTCCAGTCGATGACAATACAACAATGGCATCCGGATCCACCACTATGTCTCGAGCTCGCCTTTATTTGACAGATCCAGGCGGGCCTGAAGGCAGCGATGTAGAAACTTCCGTGGAGGCTCCATGCCAACTTTCCATCGAACGACTATTCGAGAATTTGCCAAATCCGACATCCAACGATAGATACGGCGATCGGGAACAAGATCGCCAGTACAAGAGAGCTCTCAGGCTTTTCTTGGAAGAAGAGACTGGCCCGGCTGAGCATGACAACGAGTGCCAACAACTCAAGTCCGTTGCTAGTAAGGTATTGAGAAGCCAGAACCCCCACGGTGTTCGTGTCGCATTCATCGACGGTATTGCACCTATGATTATAGACATGTCAAAATACGATGCCGAATCAGCTAAGTCGCGATATCTTGCACATTGCAAGTGGATATTGCAGGGAAGGAAAGATCATGATGCCTACGACGGGGATTTATCAGATCCAGATCCAGATGAAGACAGTGACGTTGAATACAGCCAACTCCCTAAGAAGCTCACCACCCAGACAAGATGTGCCTATTGCAACAGCGAAGGACGCCAATTCTGTTGCAGAGACTGCGTAGTGATAACCGGTTCTCGTGAGACCATCGGAACTGGCTACTGTCGTAGGCGATGCGAAGTGCTCGACAAGGACGACCACAAGCCTGTCTGTTTCTGGCGCCAGCGTTTTGCGCGAAGTGCGCGCCTTATGCAAACTATTCTCATGATTATGGAGGATCGTCAGACTACCCTCTCCCTAGAGGGCTCTTACGAACGCGACGGCATGATATTCTTGAAAGAGAAGTCTCGCCACTTCATGGCCATGTTAGGAGATAAGTTCCTCGGGAGATTCAACGACGAGGTCGTAGAAGAGAAACACAAAAAGGCAGCCCTACAAGATCAATATCTTCCGGACTTGCCCTTCATGATGTTGAGTTCAACTCAGGAATGGCTTTGGAAAGGTAAGCTTTCTTTCCTCTTACACACCAACGGACGCTAATTATGGATAGGTCTCTTCGAGAACATTGAGCAATACACCATCTTGGTCAAGAATGCCCATCGTCCTGTTGTCCGTCATACCATACACAATACTATCGAGTCCAGCATGTTGCGACCTCATACCGTCTTTTGCGTCACTCTGCGTACTGGAGAGAAGTTTGCGGTCGATTACGCGGGAGCCCGATTCGGCTGGGCTGAAACGATCACACATTGGGAGCACTTTGCAGCGCATCGACTGAAACGAGTTATTAGGAGAAGCTTCCCGGGAGCTTGGGAGCGGGATCCCGCAACGATGGTACCAGCTTACCTCCCCGAGAAGAAGAAGGCTTACCTGCATACTATATTCCTACGTATGGTCCAGTCCGAAGTGAGCCAGTCCCTACAGTTAGGATATCCAGATGTATCTTTCGACACTGCCCTCAGCGCATCGATTACCGATTCAGTCTGGAAAGTGATCGTAGTGAGTTTCGTAGAAATCACCGGATGTTTTTTTGAAGAAGGAAACACGACGAGGTTCATCTCCGAGTTAGGTATCAAAGCTAGGATGTACCTGAATGACAACTTCGAGGTGTGGGTCGAACAGCATGATAGAGATCACGAACGCCTGGAGAATGTCTGGTTTAACGAGAACCAGCTCGTGTGGATTAAGACTCATGTCCCAGATGACATGGAAGTCTTGAAGAAGATATGGAACGATTGGATTTCTAGCCGCGGTATTCGTTTCAAGGATCCCTTGCCTTCTCCTATCGAGATTGAGAACGGTGCTACAGTTTTTGAAGGATAACTTAGGGGATAGTGTACGTTCGGGCCGTCATATTTCGACGTTATGGATGCAGGGGAGAGGTGGTATAATGACAATTCTGTATAGGTGAATGCCTAACCATCCTGGCTTAGGAGATATTCGGTTTTCTTCTTCGTTGCACGGCTGCAGTTGTCAGTCACGGAATAGTTGGCGGTTGTAATATGTGTACTACAGAACCTGGCATTATGGATTCCTCACTAGCTTAATACTTTTGACCAAATGATCAATCACAAATATATGCATTGAAGGAAAGTTATGGTACCCGCCAAAGTTCGGGTGTTGTATTAATCCAAAGGAGCGACTATGCAAAATAATAGGTAGGTAGTCAACCTTCGTTTCTAAGGAAGATATCTTCGTGACGCCTGATATACGAGATTAACTTATACACACTTATAATATTAAAGCAAGACAATATTTTTTTCCTTGCTCTAATCTAAAGTCGGGGGATCTTAGAGCTATAGGATTGAGGATGTGTTAAGGTGAGTGCCGTTATCAAATATGATATTTACGGCGTCTTCCGTCACTTAACGCCAACTCTGAATCTACGTGCTTCCGGCACCTCACATCTCGCAAATCGTAGACGGCAAAACTCGTCCTTGCCCAGCTCAGGTTACGGTTACGTAGTTGCCATCTTGCATTGCATGCTAATATGGTAGATGCATCTTTTATCATCAATGTTGCATTGTTTCCAACAAATTAATAACTATACGATCAAAATTTTGATTAGCGTTTACCATCGTCAAAGGGGCCTTTCTATATTCTCATAAGGGCTACACGGGTCTAGAATGCACCTATATAAGACATACTACGCAACGATCTCGGACTAGGGTATTGTAGTTTAAACGCGGCTGAAGTCAGTTGTGCTTCGATAGCATCAGGGGTCCCATTTCTGCAAACCTAATACCTAGTTTCGAACCCCTCTTGCTTGAAGAGTGTTACTATCAATAGAAATCTCACGACTCCCTAGGTACGTATTGATGAGTTTCCCATTTGAAGGGATCCTATTGGGTTTTGGCCGGACAAGATTCCATCGCCGAAACCCGGGTAAACAATCAGAATCTTGATTATGACAAGCTTGAAGATGCAAGTCGGAATAACCAACCAATGATACATGGACACACGCAACTGTATGGTACCCCCACAATGCACGATACAATGCACAATCCTAAGTGATAATACATTTGATCAAAGTGTACTTTCACCTAGGTACTTTTAATCACTACCATGATTAAAGACTACTGTAGGAAGTAGCCTTTGACCTTGGTTATGATTAAATATGCCTTCATCCATGATTCCATGTCGACAGTTCCGTTTCGATCGAAGGTATTGGGCATTCGTAGCTTAGAACCGAGAAACAAGCCAATCACGCATTCTAGTTCAAGTGTGATATTGCTGCCCATTTTAATTGACATTAAGAACATTGATAGACCTTTTAAATCCCATCGACTGTGTAGATCTACGTGAAGATGTTTCTCAATGAACAAACGACAGTTTGGATTATTATATTACCTGCTAGGTATTACCTAGCGACGTGAGACGAATGCTATGAGCCTCATAGAGAAAGTGAGCCCAAAAGCAATTATATGGTACTGTGTAAGTCATCTACCGAGAGAGAGTGACTAATAATACTTCCTTTGGGCTATTACGTATTAACTATTAACTAATATTCGTCAGTGCAATTGCTCACATGGGGGAACTGGGGGGATGTCCCTAGAGATTAATCCAGAATGTGTAGGTTGCGGGCAAAAAAAATGCAGCAACTGCGAGGTGGAAAAGGTGCCTTTATACCGAAAACCCCCCAAAATCAAGAGGGGCATGAATGATGAGGCTCCGCGTGGTGACCGCCACGGATCTAAGATGCTGCATGGATGTAAGCCCCCTAGAGCAGCAATCATCAACAGAGCCGCACCGCTACAGTTGTCTCCTACCGAGGGTACCTTGGCGAGCAACCCTGAATTAGCGTCTGTAATTCGTTCAGGAGAGTGCACACCCCGCAGCAATCAAGAGGACGACGAGGATATTTTTGAATTAACGACTTTTGACGCGGTCCCAGATACGGACGGGGACACGAATTCTTTCTTCGACCCAGTATTATTTCCCGATTCTGAAGGCCACGCGAGTGCATTCATTTGGCCACAATACGAACCGGAAAATGTAATAGAAGCTTTTGACCCTAACAGAATTGATCTTCTCGAGGGATTGAATTCAGATCTAGCTTTAGATCCATCTTTAGATCCAGCTTCTAACCCAACGAATTCCCTTGAGCCTCAAATACCTGCGTCTATCTTCCCCCCTGACATCAATACAATTAATCCTGCGCATTTTCATAATGCCTTCCCCTTTCCGGCTCCGTGGACAGGCCACACTATTCAATCCCCCGAATTACACATGTCATCCTTTCCATACGAACAACCCTTGGATTTACCTATAGAACGGTTTTCTAACCCTACCCGTCAATTTTCAGACATGGAATCATTACTAGACCAACAAGAAGAATTGCCCCATCCCCAAAGCCCTTTGCGCCGCAACAGTGACGATTGTCAGCCGAGCATTAATAAGAGAAAGTTCTACCAGGAAGGTCGGGAGGACAGACCTGCCCACAAGGCGTTTAGAGCATGCGAGTCGTGCTCGTCAATAGCCAGCAGCGATGAAAATAGGTCTCTTGCCTGTCTTTTCTACAAGCGTGATCCAGCGCGATATGCAAGCTGCATCAAAAAGAAGTTCAAAAACATCAGCGCTCTGAGGCAGCATTTAGACAACGAGCATAAATTAGGTGTCTACCACTGCAAAAGCTGCTGGAATTCCTTCGCTGATCAAAAGTCCCTCGATGCACATGCCGCATGCGAACCAACATATGGCAGTTCTGTTGACCAACTTCCTCCCATTCCTAAGGCCAGGGGTCCCAACCCTAACGCCACGTTCAACAATAAGTGGTATTGGACTTGGAAGAAGCTTTTTGGAGAAAGGACTGCTCTACCAGATTGCCCCTATTCGCACCCTACTCGGGATATGGCAGGCTATCTATTCAGCAAGCTTCTCCAAGACCTCACGACTCAAGGGACGAAGCTCGACATCCGCGGGTTTGAAGAAGCAATCTCGCAATGGCTGGCATCCTACCAGGAACCTTCAAATGAATACCCGGTGATAGAAATATCCGTCGTACCCAACGCAGCTCAGAAATCATAAGCACGATTATTTTCGATTCTGGGCACTTAAGTGGTCTCTGCGAATTTCGATAGCTGGTCTTCTAGATTCGAACTCTACTTAACATAACGATCCGTCCTCGCTTAATTCGGATACTTTCCTACCCGACGCGATGGAGGGACAACCTCTCTTTCTCTCTCGCTCATATATAAACCTACATATACAACAATGATGACAGGGGTGACAGCATGGAGGAAACCGAGGGATTTTGGCGTTGTCATTTAAGCCGCTCGTTATTTTACTAAACTACTGCAAATACTGCCATATACCTAGATAGAGGTACTTGTAACTTTTCTTTGTTGTGGATTCACCTTGACATAATTGATAAGGAATACATTTATATAATTTAGAACGGAACAAGCAATGTTTAGGTTACTATGGGTATTTACGATCATATAATACACGATGCTAAGTGGTTAAAAGAGCACTTGCATTATACGACAGGGCACTTCATACACCAACAATTACTTATGTCATAGTGTTATTGTGTTACTCCTTGAGATTTGGATCATAAGCAAGTGGTTTACAGATAAATTGCCTTTCTTATGGAATAGTCACATGTGGAACCATAAGAAAATAATGCATTCATTTATATCTTTTATGCCTTAGGTAGTTTCGACACACTTAGAAGTTCGATCTGGACTTCCGGATATTGAAAATCCTACCGCAGATACGGTCCATACGACGTGCAGGAGTGGCACAGCAAAAGTAAATTTAAGCTTTCGTCGGAAAATTAACCATACACAACCTTTTATCTCGATGGCATCTCTGGGGTAAGAGTAGGATGTCTTCATTACCTGCTTGCTTCGGTGGTACCATAGTTGCGCTGGTTGAGGAAAGATAAAGATATTAGAACGGTAGCTGTTGCCATTATTCGGCTCTCGGTTCTACCTAAGCATTTATAAGCATTCGGTTCGTGGTTTTGGTTAATCTGCTATCACATGTTTCTAACACGAACCGTAGGGAGAAGGTACTCTTTATTGGTGTATTGAATATAAAACCCTAGCCTAGGACCTTCGTAATGCCCCTTAGACACTCGCACTTTACAACATCTACGTTCAAGTTTAAACTAATTTTATTCCCATCTCCAAACCGAATACAATCAAAGGACCAAACTGAAGCCTCTATTACCGAACAAGTCGAGTCCATCATGCGTTTCACCATCACAGTTATTGCGACTATCATCGGCCTTGCTGCCGCTAATCCCACTTTCTCCGGTAACCTCCAGACTAGGCAAACATCAGAGTACGTTTGAATTATCAGATCATTTACTTTTTTTATACTTTCTATCTACTTTATACGGATGTTTCTTAGCCCTTGTTGCTGCTTTTTCTAGCCGATCTTTATTCCTCATTTCCCCATCGCCGCATTGAACTACCTAGGAAACAAGGATTTTCTACATACTTCCGCAGAGACTAAGGATGATTATGTTTGCTGACTATTTGGTATTATTTAAGGGAGTGCGGGGCGCGTTATCCTCGAAAAGAAATATGTGATCCGGCTTGCCCTGATGGCAGATGCCTCTTCGACTATTACTGGATTTGCGCTTGTGGAAATAAGAGCACTTAGATGTCGAGCTGGGATTTAAGCATTCGGGGAAAGACATCTGATAGACTATTCTGAACGAATTTACGGTCTCCATTTCAAGCCCTATTATAAAGGAAGGGAACGTCGGGGTTTATTTTATGTAAGTCAAGGCAAAGGGGCGACCACGACTTTGTGCCTATATAACCTTGTTATTTTCTTTTCCTCTAACCCGATAGTATGGAGATGGTTGGAGCTATGTTAGCACCTTGTGTAGTTGCGGGTAGGATCTATACCTAGGGACAGGGTTTATGGTGCTGTAGATCTAGCTTGTATTACAACCCCCTTTAGCTCTTCTTACGTATAGAATTCTCACCACCACCAAAGGCCGTAGAAGTATTAACGACGTGTATATAGGAGGAGGAAGGGTAAAAGAGCAGTATAAACTACACATTTAGTTACCGAATGATAACATAATCATAGACGCTTGACTAGTGACACTCTGCTATTTATACTACCTACGTGGTTGATCTGGAAAGTAAGGAAAATTATTGATTAAAAGTGACTATGTTTGCGTAAAATCGAGGGTCTAGGTCTTGAGATCTTATAATAGATACTATATCACATGTAATTCTTAACTTTATACTTCATTACATCCTCCACATATTATAAGAGCCTGAGTAAGAGCCATTAGGTTTTGCAAGTATACCAATTCCGGGTATTCACTGATCTATTGTAACTTATATGTCATTAACTTGTAAATCTCGTCCTGTATTTTGCATGTTCATCTAGTCCCTAGGCTATTTAAAATATTTTTTCTTCTCATTAGGTCCTCCATTAGTTAGTGTGACACGTACTACTGTCCGTGATTTGTATGAGTCCATGACAGACGACTTACAATAATGTTATAAAAGTTGACTGAAGTTATATTCTACCTTGCTCTGGTGTGGAAGTGATCAAAGTAAAATAAAATTGAAAGTTCGTTAATAACTCTTTATACACAATGGTGAACTAACTTAGTAATAGTCGATAGGTAGACAATTTCAAGTGAAGTGTTAGAGGGATTATTAAAGGAGTGCATATACGCGTATGCGGTTCTACTACTCCGTAGCCCAATCACCGACACTTTAACAGCTAAACAACCATGCAGTAATGTGGCTGTGCCTAAGGCATACTCTTGATGTATGATACAGATTGGGAGCAATATATGGATTTTATATGGATTTCTATGAACTATAAGTTACACTCCTATTGGTTCGGGTTCTTGTTGACGATTCTTTGACCGTGGCGGTGCCCGAGGAATGCGATGAAAGCGTTAGAACTGGCGCTACATTGACTTAAAATGTGAGATAGAATACATGGAATGTATAGACTTCAGCCCCTTTCTATAAAATGCTGTGGTTGTGAGATTAGGTAACAGCAATATTTTAATTCGAAGGTGAGATTTAAGATTATTTCGGATATAAGTACTTAAGTACATGTACACTCACCGAAACGGCAGCAGTGCATGTATTTGTTTCTTACGCACCTGAGCTTGTTTAAACTTAATCTTTATCAGATCTGACTATGGAGCTGGAAGATTGAATTATATCGATACGACGTGCATTTGATATATAAGTCCCTTGGTCCCTTAGGGAATTTACGTGTTGACTAGTGGCTTAGCTGCAGAAACCGTAAGACTTAGCGCTAAGGACCCACTCCTTTTGCGGTTCTACCGGCTCGGCTTGACCAGTGACATCGAACCAGTAACGAACCAGTAACAAACCGTAGACCCCGCTGTGCGACATGTGCATCACCGTAGTACGTATGTATTCCTTGGCGTAGCCAATTCCCCGTTTGCTCGAAATAGTACGTATTCCCGGTATTTGGCTTGGCTTGTAATTTCAAAACCTTCACGAATTCGCAGATCCCGTGCAACTACCAACGGGGCTGAGCATCTCTTTTTTCTTTGTCTCTACCCAACACTGGAACCCATCCATTTTTCCGGTTACTTCTTCGTCGACACGACTTGTATAACACTCCCTCAATTTTATTATAGTTATCTCACCTCGCCAGAACATCTCACCCGCCGGTCGGACACGACAGTTCTTTAGTAAATAAACCCGCGAAGACGCTCATTTCCCTACTTTTCCCCCTGTTTCCGCTTCTGGTCGCAACGACACGCACAGCCCCCTCGAATCCTTTTCCCGACATCGATACGCCGCATCAATCACGAAATTCCCCGAACATATAATTTACTTATCAGGTAGCCTCTAATCAATTTAATACCGGTGGAGGACGAGAATTTTCTAGGGTTGGATCGAACAGCGACCGCGCCTTACCTTCTAGTCTACTACGCCTTACGGATGATTGAGTTACAGTCGGCGCGATGAATCTAAATCTAACATGTAACTCGACGTTGGAGGACATGAGAAGTACGTGCTGAGATACCCAACCCATAATCTGGGGTTCCTGCATGCCCAGAATCGCCCAGAATCGTGGCGCCAAGACGTAATGCTGACATGTTTTTGATAGTCGGATCGGAAGAGAAGATCGTCGGACCTCTGACCTTCCATGATCTCGCCCTCGTCATCTCTGGCGCTGCCACTATTGTCGCCTTTATCGTGAGCTTCTATTTGATGTGGCAACATGCCCTAAACTACACCAAGCCCCGTGAACAGCGACAGTATGTTTATCTCCCCGTAGCGACGGCGTACGATCTTACTGACTTGAGTTAGTATCATTCGCATCTTGTTTATGATCCCGGTTTATGCCACCTCCGCCTTCTTGTGCATATGGTACTACTGGCATGCCGTTTACTTCCAGGTCATCAGCGATTGCTACGAGGCTTTCGCCATCGCCTCCTTCTTCGCCCTCATGTGCCATTATGTAGCACCCGATTTACACGAGCAGAAGGATTTCTTCCGAAATATGCACCCTATACAAGAGTGGGTATGGCCGATTACCTGGCTCGCTAAGTGTAGTGGTGGTGAAAAGGGACCGTGGAGGACCCCTAAGAGCGGTCTGACGTGGTTTAACATAGTCTGGATCGGGATCTACCATTACTGCTTCATTAGGGTCGCCATGACCATCACGGCAGTTGTGACACAGTATTTTGAACGGTACTGCGAGAGTTCTAACAGTCCCGTTTTTGCCCACATTTGGGTATGTATCGCCATGCTGCGAAAGGAGAAGGATAGCCTTGCTTACATTATAACAGGTTATTGGAATCGAGTGTATAGCGGTCACTATTGCTATGTACTGCCTCATCCAGTTTTACATACAGCTGCGAGAACCACTAAGCGAGCACAGGCCGTTTCTCAAGGTCTTGGCTATAAAACTTGTCATCTTCTTGTCATTCTGGCAAACGATCGCCATCTCTCTCGGAACGTCTACCCTCCATATTGTAAATCCGAACGCCGTCCTCTCCTACCCCGACCTGAAAGTTGGTATACCTAGCCTAATGCTTTGCGTCGAGATGGCGCTTTTTTCAATCCTCCACATTTGGGCGTTTCCTTACACTCCGTATCTCGAAAGCGCTAAAACGACCTACTACCCGGTTTCAGACCCGTCCCAGGGAGCGTCCCCCCGCGAAAACGAGCATGGAGTCAAGATGGGTGGCTTTATGGGCCTGAAAGCTTTTGTAGACGCTCTTAACCCATGGGATATCGTCAAGGCGTTCGGCCGTGGTATGAGATGGCTATTTGTGGGGGTTAAGCACCGCCGTGAAGACCCTAGTTATCAGGCAAAGTCTGGTGATATTGACACTAGCTATCCCATGAAACCGTACGGCGCAGGTCGCCCCGGCGTGAAGAGTACGGAGAATCTACCAATCGCCACCGAATTTCGTCGAAATACGTTTGGCGTTCAACCCGGTGATCCAGTCCCCGAGGAGAGCGCTGGATTAATCACCCACGCGCAGCCGAATCCAGCCAATCCTTCAAGGCGTCAACCCGATCCTTACACAGAGCCTGGTCAGGCACAATTCTACGACTACCCTAACGCTCCGGCGGGTTACGCGGGCTACGCGTCCTATGACGATGTTAGAGGCGATTTAGGAGCCGCAAATGCGCGGTACGAATACGATCCAAATGAAGCGTACGGTAGCCAAGGTGGA